GGTTGGAGACCGGATGATAATTTATCAACATTGCCGGGTCCATGGAAGGCTTCTTGAGGAGAGGTCTCACCACCGCCTCTTTCAAGGCGGCGGGAAAGTCACCCTCACTCAGCGAAGCATTTATAATCCCCTGGAGCCAGCCTCGTGTCACTTCCCGGGAAGCCAGCACTAACCAGGAGGGACACGGGTCCAATAAACAAGTGGTCGCATTCAGTCTGCCCAGAATCCTGTCCACGTCCTCAGGGGTCACAGGCTCAAACTCATCCCAGATAACATTCTCAAGACCTGCCCCTGTCTCTCCCCCTGAGACTACCCAGTCGGAGTCCAAATCTTCCCGAATCTGAGTGATTTTGTCATACAGATACTGAACAAAATCCTTGGCTCTACCCTCCAAGGGGTCCTCCTGCGCTTCCTGATGGAGCAGGGAGTGGGTCACCCTAAAGAGGGTGGCCGGGCGGTTATCTGATGACACAATAAGAGCAGCAAAATAGCTACATTTCGCTGCTTTTATCACCACTAGGTAATTCCTAATGTGGGATCTTACTAGTGTCCGGTCAGATTCAGAAAGACTGGCCCTCCAACTGCTCTCTAGGCGTCTTTTCCGGCGCTTCAACTCCCTCAGCTCCTCGGTAAACCAAGGAGCCAGGCGAGATCGGCGCTGGGTCAGAGGCCGCAAAGGCACGACTCGGTCCAGGGCTCCAGCAGCCGCCCTATCCCAGGCGGCCACTAGGTCTCCAGACGAGGCGTGAGCCAGAACCTCCGGGATTGGCCCAAGCTCCATCTGGAACCTATCAGGTTCCATCAGGCGCCTGGGGCGGTACCATCTTATCGGGTCCGCCTCCCTGCAGCGGGGTGCCGCGGTTCGAAGGTCAAGACGAAGGAGCGAGTGATCTGACCATGACAAGGACTCGATGACTATATCCCCTATCTCGAGATCACTCAACCACTGTCCAGAGACAAAAACCAGATCCAGCGTGTTTCCCCCTGTGTGGGTAGGGCCATGAATTAACTGGGTCAGGTCCATAGCTGTCATGGAAGCCATGAACTCCCGAGCCATCTCAGACGTCTCACCCATGGACGGCAGGTTGAAATTCCCCATGACCATAAGCCTAGGGGTATCAACCGCCACCCCGGCGATGACGTTGAGTAGCTCGGGCAGGCTGTTGCCACGTGGCAGGGAGCCAGGTACGTGATCAGCAAACCCATCTGAACCCCAAGACCCCATTTCACAAAAAGGGATTCACAGCCGGCTGTCTGAGGAACAGTGGCCTCCCTCGGTCTCAGACCTTTTTTAATGATAACCGCTACCCCCCAGCCCCTCCCCTGTGACCTCGGCTGATGGAATGCTTGGAAACCTGGCAAGCACATTTCAACGAGGGGAACCCCCCCCTCCTGGCCCAACCAGGTCTCCTTAACACCTGCCAGGTCCGCATCCCCCTCCTGAACAAGGTCATAAATGAGGGGGGCTTTATTTACTATGGACCTGGCATTGCACACCATCAGCCGAAGGCCTGGGTCCTGAGGGTCTATGCAACCTGAGGAGCGAGTAGAGCCTTGGGGCCCGGAGCACGCCACCGCTCGTAGACAGCGAGTGCGCACTCCCCTAACACGATATGGCCCCCTGCTCCCGCCATATCTACCCCTCCCACCTACAGTACTGATGTTCAAAAAACCATCCGGACAAGCTCTAACCCCCCCCCCTCGATCCCGGGTCCCCCACCCCCCACGCCGCGCTTCACTGTCAGACCTGACCCTCCCCCTTGTGGGTTATCCCCCATACCCACAGCCCGAATTCCAATCTGACCCTCCCCCTCCCTGGGACCCCTTAAAAATTTGACTAAAAATTTCGATAAAAAACCCCTCAATCCCCTAGTTTTCACATGCCACCTCTCTGGGTCCCAAAACCCTTCCTTGAGGTGGGCCCTCGATAGTGAGGAGGGCCACATCTGCGAGAAGGGGGAATCTTGCAGCGCAAGAAGATCTGCAGTCGTATACATCTCCAAAATGCAGCGATGGAGGCCCGAAGCTCAGATAGGGGACTTCGCAAAAGATGTAACACAGCCATTTGTTCATCGATGTGCTGTTGGTATCTCAACTGTCCTCCCACAACAGCAGGAGGGTCCTAATTATCTCCTCCAATGGGGGCGACCTCCGGCCCGCCCTCTCACGGCAGAACCCCCAAGGGGCCGTAGATTGAAAAAGTTCTCCCACAGACAAGAGTCATGATGTAATAGAGGACCCCTCAACAGTTGCATCAGTTTGGCTGACCATGGTCGGAAGAAAGATTTATCAGTCTATCAGTCAGTCTATGAGTCATGCCAAGGGTGAAGATGGAAAATCCTTGGCAAAGTCTTGTACTCAAGGTCACATTCGAGTAAGTCCCGATGAAAAAGGGAAAGAAGGGAAGGGGAAGAAGGAAGAGGGGAAGAAAAAGGGGGGGAGAGAGAAAATTCCCTCAATCAGGGCAAATAATAAGCCCATTTAGGCGGACACAGTACCCGGGAGGGGGAGGAGAAAAAGGGCTGGTATCTATGCGACAGAAAACTCCTCCATCGCCCCCCAGCCCTACTTTCCTCAGATAGTTCAGTTCTTCCAGGATAACAAATCCGAACCCCAGCCTCCATTGGATTTCACAGGGGGCCTCCAGGTCCTCTACAGCCGCCAAGATATCCCGGGAGGGGGTCTTTCTTCTCCAGTCCTAGACCCGTTATGCTCCTCTCAGTTTTCACCCTCCAGCAAGCCCCCTTCTCCGGCAATAGGGCCTGAGAACAGCTCCAGTACTTCCATGGGGTGTGCCATGGCCCAGTTTAATGTTGGGGCCGGCCTCACCACCCCCGCTGATATCCACGCCTGCTTTCCATTGAGGACCTGTATACTGCACGAGGCAGAGAGGGTGGGGGAAAATATCTACAGACCCTTCACATCCTGACACAAACTGTTTCAACTTCTCCCCTCAAGACTCTGCTATAGGCCAAAACAATTAGACACAAAGACAGTTTCTTCCCCCCTGCCATCACTCTGCTAAACATCTAACTCCCACAGTACTGTTTTAGGCCTAAAGGCCATCTTCTCATCTTTCTCATCTCTCCTCCTACCTTCTTCTATTGGCATAATTTATTAATTGTTGCTTGTATCTTATGCTTTATTATTGTATCTTATGATTTATGATCTATGACTTATCACTTTGCTGTTTGTAGGAACACTGAAAGCTTATGCACTGTAGAATTCCTTGTGTCCAATCACACTTGGCCAATAAAGAATTCTATTCTATTCTATCTAAAAAAAACCAATTTTAAAGCTACTTGGTCAACCTCTCATTAGACAAAAGTATATAAAGCAGCTTTCTTTTCTTTGATTTGTAGAAAAGGGAAAGATTCAACACATCCTGAAGTCTATAAATCCATTTCTTTTCTATCTATGGATTATATGTTTTTAATAGTAATTCTTGCTAAGAAACTAAGTGGCTTTTTAACAGAAATGATACATCCTGACCAGATGGGCTTTATCTCAGAGATACGGTATATAAGATATTAGATTCTAATGTATCTCTTTGAAATATATTTGTTGTTAAGGTAAATCAGAAAAATAAAAAAGTAGCTGTGAGTTTTCTTGATGCTGAAAAAAGCCTTTGACAATTTGGAATCGCCTTTTTATTTTGTAGTTTTGTGGCCAATTTTTTTGTCCATGGGTACAGAGCATATATAAAGAAAAAAGGCAACATTTTTGTTAAGTCTTATTACACAGCAATATGCAAAATCCAAGGGGACGAGACAAGGGAGTTTCCTTTCTCGTTTTGTTTTTACTGGTACCGGAAATTCAACTATACCAAAATAACAAAATTTGGTGCAGAAATAACCGCACAAGAACATAAACTTATGAACTTATTTGCTGATGATACTGTACTTATAATTGCTCAGCCTAAAGAGATTTTAACATGGCTGATGGAGAATGCACAACAATGTGGTTCAATGTCAGGTTATTGGAATAATGAAGAAAAGTCCTCAAATGTTGACATGGAATTTGACAGAAAAAAAAAAGCAATGTGTATCAAATCACAGATGCTAAGAAGTTCAATATTCCGAGGTTCCCCCCCACCCCTGAGTAGAAAACAATAAAATTTAAGAATAATTATTTGCCATCTTGGAAAAACAGCAGATATTTCCAGATGGAAAAAATGTAAAATTATCCTGGATTGAAAGAGTTGCAGCAGTTCTACCAAGGTTTAATGTCTTTTCACTATTTCAGTCTTTATTGAGAATAAGTTATTAAATAACTGGCATAGACAAGTAACAAATTCTAACAAAAGACCAAGAATTAAACTCATGAAACTGAGTTAAGAGAACAATGTTGCCTATAGCCTCTGAATTTCAGACTGTATTATCTTATGAATGGAACGTGTCCCAGGATAATATTGCAGGATCCAATCTGTGTTGGTCAGCGAGACCAGAAGTTTTGCCTTCCGAGCTTTCAGACTTAAGATGGAGCCCATCTTCAGGAACTTTTCTCATTTTATATACTGTCTGCTGCTTCTTATAATGAACAAGTTTGTTTTAGCAAAATTTTTGTATTTATTCATTTAAGCCATGATTAGTAAAGAAAACTCAGAATATTGACTCAGAATATCACTTGTTTGCGCGGCCCGGTTTCTATCATGACACAGCCCATGCTGGTCCACGGTCTGGGGGTTGGGGACCTCTGGCTTAGTGCTCTTCTGTTTCTTTTCTAGGCTTAAAGAACCTCAAGTGGCAACTGAGAAGAAATAATCCTTGCTAATATTAGTAAACACATTTTTCGCATATAGAATCCATTATTGAAGGCTGGAATCAAATATTTTCATGTTGGAATGCCCAGAGGCATTTGTCTGATTTTAGAAACGTAATACTGGATTAATTAGACACTGACTTGATCAAGAAAACAATCTGAGTAATTAAAGCAAACCTTGTCCCCGGTGAATATTTTTGAAGGGAATTGAGACCTAGATTTACCCAGAACAAACAGCATATGAACAAATGTACTTTATTTTAACGACTGATAAACTATTTGGATAATTTATAAATCACTTTATTTACAGACTTTATTCTCTTAAAGTACATCTCAAAATAACAAAGGTATTTACATTGGTGTAAAGAGACTATACTGCTTTATTTTACATTTCAAAATTACATGAACCTTAACACCCTGTATTCTACCAAGCCGTACTACACAAAGAAGTGTGTACATTGGCTGAAATTGGCCTGGAAACCTATGAATAAGTTACTTACATAAACACATAGGCAGGAACAGTATCTGCACAGCACAGTATGCAAGGAAGAATAGTTTCTCCAAGACAACTCTGCAAATGTACAGCAAAGGCTCTCCCAAAACATTTATTTACTGCAATGTGTTATAATGTATAGTTTTTTACTCTTTATCCATGAGATTTTAAATTAATTCAGATGAGTTTTGCTTGTTTATATTGACAATGTACAATTTACAAAGAATTACTATACAACTGTCAAAACTGTTTTTGCTGCTGGAACGTAAGTCAATCAATTCTGATTAAATAACAAACTTGCTTGAAAAAAAAAGGCTTTACTGTGCAGTGACTTCAAAGGTCTCTGAATGCTGTGCTATGGTATTTCTTTAGTGAATACACACTTTTATTCAAGTATTGCAAAAAATGCTAAGGCCACGTTTTTTTGAAGATCATCCATTTGTCCTCCTCCCCTTTGCCAAACAGGCCATAAAACCTTGCTGTTAAATTTTCTGAAATACTGGAGCACTGAAAAGGCGACAGGTTACAATCCATGGAACAACTGTCCTATTCAAGCCTCCCTTTGAAGTAAATGGTGATTATACAACAGCACATAAAATAGTCTTTTTGGTGATGGTTTTGCATTTAAATTCCGCTTTAATAGGACTTCTTTAGGATTTTATCTTAAATCTATAGGTCAGGAACAGATCCACAAAGATTGCTGCTCTTTATATTTGCATACATTTGTAGGTATGCAGTCTTCCTCAAAATTTCATTTTAATGTTTAATGAATTAAAATTCATTTTAATACAGACTAAAGAGCACTAACAGTCCTTATATATTATTGTCAAGTGTTTTTCTCTAAAGTGAATTCTGATGGCTGGCATAACATAATTTAATATATTCAGGATATACTCTCCAAGACAATTAGTGATTCTTTGTCATAATTAAACTCCTCTATGCTGCTTAAGTCCATTCTGAACTCTGATGGAAAAAGGACAACCTTGTAAAGGGTTCACTGGGCATTGTGTTAAAATTCACTTTCACATTAAGTATACACAATGATCATGCCTGTATTTGCATGCAAATAAAAAAAAAAAAAAAGGAAATGACACTCAGGTATGTGAATTCATGAATTTGTGGGTGACAACAGCATGTATTGCATGTTTATAACACATAGGATTTCTCAAAGTGAGCTAGAGGTATTATAGTGAATCCCCAAAAATGTTTTAGGTGTTTATCCAGAGTAGCTACATGGCCCTCCAATCTCACTTGCAGGAATAATTAAGCACTGTAGAAAACTATAATAGTAAGTAGGTTGTTTCTGCGAGAAGGTGCAAAAGTTGAATCTGGTAGCCATAATCACTGAAATCAACAGGTATTTGAGCACAAGTCTCCAGCCCTTTTTTATGATAGAGAACCTCAGTATAACCCCTCTCTAGCAGGGGGAAAAACCATAGAGGCATCAATAGTTGGGGTCATCTGGATGGAGGAAGCAGAAAGGGGATTTGGGGAAGAACACATCCTTAATATGTCAGTGCAATGAGCAAAAGAAGGTTGCCCAGAACAGCTATTTAAGGCAAGTAGCTATGCGCTCTTTCCTTAACTCAGTTTCTCATTTTGCAGACACCCTCTTCACCCTGTCTTTTCAAGTGCAAGATGTGATTAGGTAATTAGCCAAAAGGGAATTTCCTTCTCAGGAATCCCAGTGTTAACAACCCTTAAGAGCCTACACCATACCAGTTGGATACCATACTAGAAATTGTGCAGCTTTGGTAACATGCAGTTCAGCCGTTAGGTCAATTTAGCTGAAACTTAGTGTATGATATCAGTAATGAGCTGTCAGAAGTTTCTTTAAGGATAAAGTGAATTCCCAGAACTATGCCACATGCAGTTGTGGGACAGAAGAAAAATGCCATATAAGGCCTGAATGGATTGCCCTTTCTGGTATATATGGACCTGATGAGGCAATATTGAAGACCATTCCTTCACAGTCAAAATTGTCGCTAAAATGTTCCTGGATTCATGCTCAAGTAATTGTTGCCTTGCAAAAAATGCTATAACAGCCACAGTTCTCTGAGTTTAAATCTATACCATATGTTGGCCCCGTTCCTCTAGATTTGGTTGCAGTGAAACCTTTGCACCGCTGTTGATCACAGCAACAAATCTGAGTTAAGCAATATACTGTGTACATTATTCTATTGCTTTAATTACCTTGGGCATGCCAATATTATTTGATCAATATAGCTCAGTTTAAGTTGGTGACTTTCCCAATTCTCTTTGCTTGGATGTTCCCTTGATTCTCATTATTTAGCTAGGTAGGGCAAAAGACATGGATAACCCCAAAATGGCAAAACCTAAAACTGTTAGAAAATGGCCTCATTTGTTTCAAAACAGAGGAAAAAAAACCCAGTAACTTCGCTTAGGTATTAAATATGCATTAAAAACATTCTGAGGTTCAGTATGAAAAGTACTTAACTCATAGCAGCTTGCTCCACCAGATTTGTTTAAAGTTGGCATTTACATGCTAGTAAAGTCTACGTGCTAGTTATTCTGTCTTTTGTTCTTTTAGCCCATTTAGGTATAATTAATCACCCCAAGTTTACAAATGTGATTCTGTCAATCTATCTATGAGCATTTCTGATTGTATGCCAACAACTTTTTAAAAATGTATTTTCTCTGGTTAAAAGGAGCTATCTTGGTTGTGTGTTACTGTGCAAACAGCAAACAAGTCAAAAAAAGTTTCAAAAGAGATCCACAAGAGAGTACTGGCAGACATATACTGACTGGAAGACCAAGAAACTAAAGATGAAAGGAAAAAGGGCATAAATAGGCGCATAGTCTTTGGAATGCCTCCTCCTATGCTTTGGAACGCTGTCTCTGCTGGGATAGATTAACAGATTTTGAATCCACTCTGATTCAATGTTTCCTCAAGTAATCCAGATTTCAAATTAAGGCATCAGTAGTCAAGCCTAGATTATTTTGGGTTCCCTGGAGAAAACTTAGGGGGTGGGGGAGGAGCAATGGAGACAGTATGAGCCACACTGGGTTTGATAGTGGCCCACTCTTAACAGTCATGGAAATCTTGGCAAAAGGGTTTTTGACATCCCATTTCCCTTTCCAAGTACATTAGTTTGATGTAACATGTGCCTCTTCACAATCCGTTTCTACCCCACGGTGGGAAAAAAACCATGCATTTGGATCTTTGTACTCTTGTCTCTGATGCATTTCTTGCACATAGTATGATACCTCATTTTTATGACACAGATGCATTCCTAATGTACAGATATTCTGACGTTTTAAATCCTGTAACAGTGCATTCATAGAGCACTCGACAATTATTTTTTAGGAGTTATAAAATAAGTTATAACAAATGTCACAAGCATAAAAAAATCAGGTCCAGAGTCAAGCACTGAGTATCACTCTCTTTGGTACATACACTCCTAACCCTAGTTAGTTCAAGTAATGGTTTCACCGGTACATTACAGTAAGGTGGTAAGCAAGGGAGGAATCAAAGGGATCAATGGCCCACATTATGTAAGCATTTTTTCCTATCTCTCACATATTAAAATCCTGAGAGAATCCTGAGTACCATTTACTTAGGAGCAGCTGGTGGTTCACTGAGGAAAAAACAAATATAGTGGAAAAGTAGAAAAACTATCTCAGATTAATCATTTAAAAAATGGAAATAAAAATTTAGTTGAAAAAAAGGAGCATAACTCCTCAGATCCACATGCATTAATCCAATGACAGAAGATCCATGAGACAAAAAGATTAAAATTACATGAGTGAGGAACAGATACTTGGTTGAACTGAGATACACTGTTAAGTCAAAAAACAGAGTTATAAATTACACATAAAACAAAGTAGAGCAGTTATTAAAATGAAGAATGTTTACTAGTAACTTGAATTTCCATCGTTGGGTTCTTGGTGCTCCATGCCAACCATTTTCAAACTGCCAATATCGAAAAAACAAATGCCAAGTATTATTGTACATACTGAATTGGCAAAAGCATTTTGGGGGAGGGGGAGCCTTTGTGGAACAAATCCAGTGTAGGAGATCCAAAGGCAGCACAGGAAGAGGAGATGTTGTATCACTTCTCAGCCAATCAATTTTGGGGGAAAAAATATGGTTTGATGTTAGACAAACAACAATTTCTGTTTTTCAATGATCTGATTGAGGAGATCAATAGTCTCTCTAATTAAGGCCTCAAAAATCCCATCTGCTAGCTGCATCTTCACATACAGCTCATCTTCGTCATAGTTCACCCACTGAGCCTCTTCTTCATGCAATTCTTGAACCTTAGAATTAGAAACGGGAGGGAGAAAAGTCACTGTTATTAATATACTACTTTGTAAACATATATAATAAAAATTATTATTGTAAATCCATCTAACAATCATTATATAGAAGCTACAGATTTTCAACAACTCACAGGAAAGAAAACAAATAATAATTCCTAGATATATTACAATTAAAACAAAAATTAAAAATAGGACGATATCACTATTTATGAAGTCAATAAGAGTCAACACTAACTTGCTATCAATCAACCAATCAATCAATCACTCACCATCACTTATCAATGACTCTTGCCATTCCAGTAAGCCAGGCTTTAGTGTGACTCATATTCCACTGAAATTACTCATGTTACTTCAGAAGTGTTAGTAGCTTTAAGCCTGTTCATGCTTTGCAACAGTGCCAGCATTATTAATTAGTTCCATATCCATTAAGATTATGGCAGCCATTATTTATTCACCCCTCTCCTTTCTCTCAACTCATTAATTTTTCTTTCACATATTTATTTTGCAATTTGATTTTCATTTCTCAATATACGTTTATAATAGTTACTCATTTTTGTTTTCAGTCTACATTTCCTGAACAGCTATACCTTCTTAACCTTATATCATGCTTTATCATGAATATTTAAATACCCAATTCCTAAGAAATAAAAATACCTTTGGCTTTTTTAATTTAGTCAACTCTTATTTTCACTTTAGAAAGTGGTTAGAAGCACACTTTCCCACTGATATTTATTCTTTACAATAGACCAAATACTACCCATTACCTTTCTACCAGCAATTGCACATCTTGAACTTCTCCATCAATTTTCCCATCTATAATAAACATTTCCCAACAAGCATGCCTTCATCTCTTTGCTCTATTTCTTTTTGCCATTTACGAATAATCTGCAATCATTCACTCGATTTTTGTGTTTAAAAACAACAATCGTATTTCTTGTTTATCTGCTGAAAATCAATTTGGGTTCTCAACCAACAAGGCACCATTTTTTCCAGAGGTATACACATGTCTCTTATATCACAAGCATATTTCTGTATCTATAAATACATTAAACAATCAAACAGCCTACTGTACAGTGAGTTGGTTCTGATTGAAGTGGCCTATATACATTTGTAAATAATAATAATAATAAAAATCCTTATTCTGCTTAAAGATCTAAATTTGGAAATGCCTAATTTTAGTTGACATTTATCCATAGTTTGCATGGATGAGAACACACAAGGAAAAATATGGTTCTTCAAAAGCACAGAAAAGGACATATTTAATTTGCCTGTCTATAATCCTTCTGCTTAGGAGGGCTGAAAGCCAAATCTGGGAAAGAAGAACAAGCTAATATGTAAACAACATTAGATCTAACTCATTTTTTCAAACCATGCAGGTTGCTAGGTATTTATGCCTGACTACGATGCATTATTGAAAAAACAATTACTAACCAATATGTGATCCACTCTATCCTTTTTTTTCCGTCCAAATTTCATCATTTTCTGCCAGTCTGTTTTATTATTTGATTCCTTTCTCAAATTTAAGAGCTTTAAAACCTCAGCTGTTATAAAGACCTTGGGTAAAGGAGAAATAAAAAAATAATGAATGCTAACTAAATACATTTTCTCTAGTTGCAACATCAATTCTACAAGCAGCTTTCAGGGAGAAGATTTCTAGTGAGGTCGTAGACATGGCATATATGCAACAGAAAACACATTGTATTGCTAGGTAATTACAAGTATAGTAAAGCAATTTGGTAGGTAACTCTAGAAATATCCATGAAGTTCATTATGAATTATGACACTGATTCAACTGTTGTACATTCCAGTATATAGATAAATGCAGCATCAGGCATTCTTTGGAACTATCCCCACCCATCCCCACTCATTAATCCAGGTATAACTATTATTAGTTGCTGTATTGGAAGGATTTTAATTCTTTATATACTGGTTATCACTCATTGTAGTTTTTTGAAAAAAAATTGCATGTTAAATGTAAGCCATCTTGGATGGATTTGTAACTGGAACAGTGTTAAGTATTGACAATTAAAGCCTTCATTATTTTAGTTTTAAGAAATAGAAGCATTTATCCATATCCTGTTTCAAATTAAAGAAACTATAGTGGGAAAATGAGAGATAGTATCATATGCACACTCATCTTGGATTGATGGTGTAAGAAAATTATTTTTTTCAAATAAAAAATAATTTATTTTTCAAATAAAAATGCATGATAAAATTCCACCAGACTTCACATTCTACCTCAAGTTCTAAGTCAGTGGTTCTCAGCATGGACTGGGGACACCTGGGAGTGCCCAAGACCCTTTCAGAGAGTCCACGAAGACAAATAAAGCTTTTAAAACTTCTCTGTTTTAAACCTTAATAAATATTCATAAATATAACCCATGTAAACCAAAGCTCTTTGGGGCCCTCAATCATTTTTTAGAATGTAATGACGTCCTGAGACCGAAACATCTGAGAACTGCTATCTAGATGAACTGCACTTTATTTCTATAAATATATTTGAAGTTCAAGATATTAATCTTATTCCTACTTTTATTTCTTCAAGATCACTTGGATCTTTAACTCGTCGAAAGTAACCAGAAATTATCCTGCTGGGTTTCATCCATAACGGCTGATTCAAATTTGGATCTTCTGCAAAGATTTCTTCAAAAATCTCTCTTGTTAAATCAAATACAGCCTTGATAAAAATAAAAGAAACACTGTATAACCATTGTATATTATAATACCATATCATTTTTCAAAGAACCAAACAAAAATATATTAATTAAAGTATTTATGCTGAATACTAGCTATACAGCAAGTGAAATATAATTTTGTTTAAATATTGCATTCTGGGGCCAAGATTTTTTACTGTTTTTAGTGCTTTTGAAAAATGCCTCCATATCCTCTTTTCTCTTTTACACTTCATTGTATCTGTCTTCCACAAACACACCATACCTTTTATATTGCATTCTATCACCGAGTCCAAAATAGCATTTTTTTTTTTTTTTTTACAGATTGGGGACTCCTTTGATACATTTCTTCTATTTTTATACATTTCCCAATAATGAGATAACTGCCATACCTGTTTGTAGATTTGTTTACTAATAGTTTCAATGTCATCATTTTGGGGGAATTCATTCATGTCTCTGGGATTGCTGAGGGCTTGAAGATCATGCCCCAACTCTTTGCATTTCCATAGCTTCTCGGCTGCTGCATGCACCAACTCCTCCACTTCTTCTGCAACATATGGTGCAGCCAAAGGTTCTTCACATGGCTTTGGGGACACTTTTGGCAGTTCTATCTTAGGTAAGACTGCTGATTCTTCAGCTTGGTTTTGAGGGACCTTATGTGAACTCAAGCCAAAATCCTCATCAAACCAATCTTGGTCATCTCCTAACACATTCAGAAACTCCCGGCTAAGTTCCAGTTCTGCCAGCCTCTTGGCAAGTTCTTCCTGTCCACTGGCACCAAATACAGGGCTTTCCTAAATAATAAGAAAGTGATTATTACTTAGAACCTTAAGTATTCCCTGCGCTATGCTCCTGAATTTGAAAAATATTATCCATTAATGCTTTAAGATTTAATGATATATAGTCATATTTTTTTGTTCTTAGGGTGCAAGAAAGTGGGATACAGAGAAAGTCTAATGGCTTTTACTAGAGGACCCACGGAGGTATGCCCTTGGTTGGTGACCATATAGAGCAGCGGTTCTCAACCTGGGGGTCGCGACCCCTTTGGGTCGAACGGCCATTTCACAGGGGTCGCCAAAGCCCTCTCTCGCCCCCCCACCCCTTCACTCACCCTCATTCTCTGCTCTGTTGGATCGCCGGCCGTTCGCTTACCCCGCCCACTCCCAATCTATTGCTGCCTCCTGAGTCCCAGCTGATGGCTAGAGGAAAAAAAAACTGTTCAAATTCTTGCCGCTGGGCTTCAAAGGGCCGCCCTATAGCCAGTGGTGCAGCTGAACCGTTTGTTAAATTGCTGGCTTGCCCCGCTCCTCCGCACCACTATTTATTGCCAATAAATAGTGGTCGGCGAGGGGCGGGTGAGTCAGCAATTTAACAAATGGTTCGGTGTTTTTTTGTAATTTTATTGGCCCCCGGAGCTTCAGCATAGGCTAATTAGCCCTTGCTTAGATCGGCTCCCGAGTCTCAGCTGATTTGTCTCAGCTGTTTTGCTCAGGGCTCTGCTGCTTTCTTGAAAAGAGTGCTGATTTTTTCCCCCTTAGCTATGCTGAGAAACGAAACTGAAACTGCTTTGCTGTTGCTGCAAGGTTGGAAAATTAGGCAGGCAGATTTCTTTTCTTTTTCCTCACCAAAAAAGGTAGGTGCAAACAATGGGAAATTTAGGGAAAAAGAGGAGAGTTCAAGATTTTAAAACACAAACGAAAAAAAGCTCTCTTTAACTAGGAAATTGTAATAATTGAGATACTATTAGTTGTATATTTCTGAAAGCAGAAATGGTTAAGTTGTGGTTTGGAGGAATATATGGGGGAAATTATTTGGCTTATTATTATTGGTAAATATAATTAATTGATTTGTAAGAAATTGGATTGCATGGAAATAATTGGAATATTCATGTTCATATTGATTAATATACAAAAAAGGTAGTTATATAACTAATTGATTTATATTAAAATGTTGAATTTATATTAAACAACTGTAATATTACATAATTAACCAATGTGAGGATGGATATAAAAATAGATGACAATGGGAAGGGGTATAATATAGAATAGAAGGGAAAAATTGAATTTGATTAAGATTAGAGATGAGGATGAAGGGTAATATTGGTTTTTTACAAAAATAGATGAGGAATAAATATGGCAAAAAGGAAATATAGAAATTGTAAATTTAATTGAAATGACTAAACACTGTTTAAATTTGTGAACTGGCCAAATACTCTGTTCAAAGAAAATACATTGTATGTTTGTATATGTGTTTCTAATTATTGTTATTTATTCATATTTGTTCTCTTTTATTCTTTAAAGTTTAACAATTCATTCTTTATCTTAATATCTTTATATTTTTGGGGGGTTGGCTTTCTTCCCTTTCATCTTTTTTATTGTACAGCAATCTTTCTCCTCAAACCTACCACCTCTCTCTTTTCTTTCCTTCTTACTTTCTCTTCCTCTCCCTCTTCTTCTCCTCCCTACTTCCTCTTCCTTTCTCCTTCTCCTCCTCTCTTCCTCCCTCTCTTACCGTCCCTCCTACTCTAATTTCCTTTCCCTTCCTTCATCCCTCTCTATTGCTGTATCCTTTTATGCATATGGACTACTCAGAGGGCTGAAAAAGTTATTTCTGACTGGTCCTCGCACTTTTGACCAGTCCTCAAACTTACGACTGTCCTCACATTTTACGTTTTTGCCCTATCTTGTCACCATGGTGAAGAGAAGCAGTTGTGAAATGAGTGACATGGTTGTTAAGAATGCTACAATGGGCATAAATGATGACCAGTCATAAGTGCGAAGACCGGTCAAAAGTGCGAGGACCAGTCAGAAATCATTTTTTTCAGCCCTCTGGGTAGTCCTTTTGTGCATATGGACTACTCAGAGGGCTGAAAAAGTTATTTTTGACTGGTCCTCGCACTTTTGACCAGTCCTCGAACTTACGACTGTCCTCACATTTTACGTTTTTGTCCTATCTTGTCACCATGGTGAAGAGAAGCAGTTGTGAAATGAGTGACACGGTTGTTAAGAATGCTGCACGGGCATAAATGTAAGGATGGTCATAAGTGTGAGGACCAGTCAAAAGTGCGAGGACCTGTCAGAAATGACTTTTTTCAGCCCTCTGAGTAGTCCCTATACACATAGCCATGGCCACCTGGCCACATGACCAGCTAGCCACGCCTACCCAGTCACATGACCTCCAAGCCACGCCCACAAAAAAGCCATGCCCACAGAACCGGTAGTAAAAAAATTTAGAACCCACCCCTAGTTGGGGGTCACCACAACATGAGGAACTGTATTAAAGGGTCGCGGCATTAGGAAGGTTGAGAACCACTGATATAGAGCAAGTCACATGTGGAAGCCCCAGTTAGTTAAATGGAAATGGTACAAAAGCAGTAACTCATGGATTGCATTCCTAACAGAGAAACAATATTCAAGAATACAATTCTATACCCAGAAAAGTAAAACACCTAACATGGAAAAATGTATTGACTAGGATTACAATGACCATATTAAATTCCTTATTATCCTACTTCATTGTATTCTTGTGAGGATATAACTAGATGGAAATATAGATACACTGATTTTTGCTCCTTCAAGAAAGGCAGGATATAAACATAAATAAATAACTGCAGTTCTTGTTCATCTAGTTTTTAGTTTTATAGATAAACAAACAAACAAAAAAAAAAGGAATGTGAATTCAGTTGTTAGGATCCCAAATTTTAAAAAGTAAACCAAACATTCTAAACCTAAAGGTTAGACCAAGCCAACTATAAAATATCCAATGAAATCTTTATATTTTATTTTCTCAGAGACTCTCCTCTTTGCCTTTTAATAACTCACTTCTGAAACACTAGAGTTCTAAAAGCAGTTTGTGACATGTATAATTTGTTGTTGTCATCAGCTTCTTTTACAAAAAAAATATAACTGCCCAAAGAAAATAGAGTTGATATTTGTACATTGAGATGCTTTGTCATCTCCCATAATGTCTATTGATGGGGTTCTGATACCCCAGAGAGGAGATACTTGCAATATTGGGATCCTTGTAGACTCAATCCTACTGTTATATAGGCAGGTGGAGCCCCTAGCTCCAAGGGCTTTTGACCAGATTCTGTGGTAGTTTTTGTAGTTTTTTGTCAGCACATTACAAAAAATATGTTGAGACTTTGGAAAAAGTGCAAAGAAGAGCAACTAAGATGATTAAAGGCCTGGAGAAAAAACATGAAGAACGGCTACAGGAATTGGATATGGGCAGTCTAGAGAAAAGAAGGACTAGGGGTGACATGATAGCAGTAGTCCAGTATTTGAGGGGCTATCACAAAGAAAAGGGGTCAACTTATTTTCCAAAGCATCAGACGGCAAGAAAAGAAACAATGGATGGAAACTAATCAAGGAGAGAAGCAACCTGGAATTAAATATAAACTTCCTAACAGTGAGGACAATTAACCAGTGGAACAGCTTGCCTTCAGAAGTTGTAGTGGCTTCATCACTGGAGGTTTTTAAGAAAAGACTGGACAACCATCCAGACTGGACAACCATCTATCTGAAATGGTATAGGACTGTGATGGTGAACCTATGGCACACATGCCCGAAGTGGCACACAGAGCCATGTTGCCTGGTATGTGCGGCCTCGCCAGTTCCTCTTCCGGGTTTCTGGCGCACATGCACGACAATCAGCTGGTCTTTTTGCATGTGGCAGTGCCGGAAACTGGAAGAGCTGGTTTTCCGTTTTCCTGTGTGAGCATGTGTGCTGGCTAGCTGATCATTGCGCGTGCATGCACGCCAGAAACCCGGAAGAGTAGCTGGCTGGCGCGCACGCGTGCACTGAAAACTGGAAGTTCATTTTCAGGTGCGTGCATGCTCGATGCTGAAAAGCCATCACTGGTATAGGGTCGCCTGCTTCAGTAGTAGTTTGGACTAGAAGTCCTCCCTTCCAGCTCTATTCTGATTGATTTATTGACTGATAGTAGCCTTGCCTAAAAGCAGAAGAACCTTGTGACATTGATTTATGCACTCATCACAACTTGGCTAGATGACAGTAATGAACTCTATAGGATGCTACCACTGAAAAGTTATATGGTTGGCTAACACTCATCAACCAAGTCCTATATGGCTTAGCACTGAGGTCTTCAGGACTGCATTTTTCAACAGGAATTGACCCTCCAATACATATATCCTGAAACGCTTGTTCCAGATTTCCATGAAGTTAGGGGATATGAGATTCACAGGTGGCTCTTTTTGATAGTGGGCCTATGCTTTCGAATGGCCTTTCTCTCAATACCAAACTTGTTTTCACATTATAAACTTTCCAAACAGTTTTGAAAATAAATGGGTTTTTTGGGAGAATTTATAGAGACCGAGATGATGGTATTGAATGTTTCAGTTATTGTTACTGTATCTAACACTGTTGTTTTGTGATTTATTTTTAGTGAAATGTTGGTTTAATTTTACTTTATATTACTGTAGTACTGCTGTGGTTTTAGTTACACTATTGTAATGTTCTTGATCTGTTGTGAACTATGGAGTCTGATTTGAACGTGCCAGTGTACAAACATGATAAAAACAAAAGTGATTAAAAACAAACAAAAATGTGAAACACAAAAATAACATACAGCTTATTAATAAGCCACAGCCTGTCAAATTTCATAACTGAAGCATTACTCTAGTCTTACTTATCTTAATTATGAACTATACTTACTGGTCTGGGACACATATCTGGGGAAGATACTTCTTCTCCATCATCCAATTCTGATACAACTAAAAACCTCTGCTGTTCATTAGTTGCCAAGTTATTTTCTTGGACAGCACCGAGTCCTTGATTGCTAAAATGGATCTTCTCATTCCTTGCCTTTTTGATTTGCTGAAATTGAGTGACTGTGTCTTTCACAAAACCTTGCAGGAGACTATCAGCCAACAAACCAACTCTTTCCTGTCGATCTAGTAGATTTTCCTTTTCTTGGGATGGAACTTTAAGTTGGGCTTCCAGTTGGTTTCTTTCTTTTGTCAACAAGTCCAGAAGCGGCGTTGCAGATTTCTCCAGATTACTGGGAGGAAATCTGTTTTCTGTTTCCTCTTGCCAAACAGACCCTTGCTTCCATTTCTCAGGAAAGCTGCTGTCCAAAATCCCTTCTACTTCAATAGCAGAATCTTCTTTGTGGATATTTGAAATGGCGGGAGGTAACATACCATTATCATTTTTAGAGGATTTGGGAGAGTCAAAGTCTTTGGTTTCTTGATCAAACTCGTCAACAATACTAATAACTGCCACACAGCCACTTGGTTTATTGAATTTTACATAATCTCTAGCTCCAATTGAACCTTTTAAGGCAGATGATTCTCTTGGAGATTTCTCATTTGAATTTCTTTTATTCTTTTCATTTTCAAGACTGTCTAAACCTTCCTGATTTGTTTTGTGTTGATTATCTAGTTCATGCTTAAAGAAAGAATTTTCATTTGAATCTAAGTCATTACCAAAACTTTCTGAAAAAAGAGAGATTTTTTGTGGAGGAGCAAAAATACCATGTTTTTCTTTACAATCAAAATATTGAATACCATTGTAAGAGCCATTATTGTTTCCTTCAGGTTTGTCCAACTCTACACCAGCCCAAAAACCTTTATCAAAATTTGTCTGACCTTTAAATTTCAGTGTTCCAGGCTGGACATTACTCACAAGAACTCGGTCACCAATGCTGAAACCAAGCAAAATATCTTCTTGTTTTTCTGATGATGCCTTGAAACTGGAAGCCGAAGATGAATCATCATCATCATCATCATATGGTTCTTTCTCCACATCGCCACGTTCTTTATTTTTCACAAATTCTGTTGGTGACTGGAGTTCTAACAATCTTTCTGATTGAATGCTATCAGCTACAGACAAAGATTTTTCACTGAGACATTCACTTATTTCATCATCACTTCCAAAACTAGGGGATTCACTCCTAGGAGGTCTTGTGTACAAAGTGTTCTCTCCCTGTGATCCTGTATCTTGTCTGAAAGATAATGTAGGTGCTTGAAAAATATCTTTTTGATATTCAGTAAGAATTATCTCACTTTTTGATATATCTGTTCCTAAGGAAGACTCTTCAAAATCACTAGAATATGATTGCTCTTCACAAATGGAAATCTGTTCTGAAACCAGGAAATCACCTTTCAGTGTATCTTTCCCCAGCCTATCAGAGGATTTGACTGATGTAATACTTTCATCATCCTTGAACCTTTCACTTGGCATCTCCTTGATTTCCTGCGCACTTATGCACTCCAAGACAAATTGATCCTTTTCCGACAGTTCAGTCTCTGGAGGGACCTCTGTCTTTAAAGGAACTGAATTGTTTTGATTTAAATCAAAAACTGAGGCATCATATATTTCATAAACCTGGGAAACTATTTCAACATCTAATTCTTTTGATTCTGCTGTCTCTTGCACTATAGATCTGGTAGTGGGAGAGTCATAACTCACTGCATCTTCAGACTTATTCAGTGATATGGAAGATATTTTGCTCGTGTTTCCTAAGTCTTTGAGAATAGCTGACGAGAGTAAACTATCCAAATTGTCAGATTCTGCTATAGATTTTCTTAGGGTTTTGAGGACTGTGGATGCTGTAGGAGATTGCTTCTCTGCCTGAATCTCTGCTTCTGTGAATTTCATGGTGTTTACAGACACAGATTGTTCAGAATGTGGCACAGCATCTTAAGAGAATAAAACAAAATCAAACACACATACTTAAAACAATTGTGCCCTTTTATTTAGCATTATTAAAGAAGTAAAAAATCTGGGTATTATAGGAAAAAACAGAAATTCTTACTAGAGAATGCTAACCTGTCCCATCAAATAGCATGAGTATTCCACTGTTTACATATAAATGGCTAAAGTATAATTTAAAAACAATATCCTAATCAAATGTATAATCAATAAGACTTCATACATGCTTTGATTCTACTATGCATAGGAATTAACAGACCCCAAAATATATTCAAAGATTTTAAAATTGTATAAATGTTCCCTTTAAATTTCTTGTACAATAAACGAGGTGATTGTTTTGAAATGTTTGATTTTTCCTTCCCTATCTGATACTTTACTAAACTTAAATGTTTATTAAAAGAATTCCAGAATGAAGAAGTGTGAGCAGAGAGACACGTAATGAACACAAGTAAATTATCCAGTGTTACTCTGAATCTGAATCTCTATCTTGTTTCTTTCTAAAAAGCTATCAACTCCAGTTCAGACATAGTGCAAACTCAATATAGTGTCAGAAGAGATTCTTATATTTATTTAGCCACTCTGAACCAAAAATGCCTGGTAGCAACTACTAGCATTCTTCTTTGAATTTCTTTTGAAGAAATATTATAAATAAAATTGCTAGAAAATATGCATAATAGCTTATAGAAAATAAAATACATTTTTAGAATTATACTGAATACGAAATAATTCAATAGATTCTTACTTGTTGCAATACTATGGGAAAGAGTTCTCATTTTTTAAAAAAAGTGTTAGTTAAAAATAATAAAATCTATTAATTCACTTGCTTGCTTTTCAATTATAATTTTTTTTAAAACATACTTTTAGTTGAAATTATTTTAATCACATTAGGTATATGAAGATAACTTGTGTAATTTTAATATTAAACAAATAACTTCCAAGATACATACCAATATGTTCCGCAATAGATTCCAAAGATCCTCTAGAACGTTCAGAATCAGTGAGTGATTTCCAACTTTTGGATATTTCAGACCTAAAAAGAAGTTTTGAAAAGATCACTCATACATGTACTTACAGATATTTTAAACATTCTGAAAATACTGTACACTGTATCAGAATTAACAAAATAAAACACATAAAACAAGGAGAAAGCATATTATTTTTTTCAAAAAATATATCAAAAATTTAATCCAGAGATTTGAATACTGCAATCCATCCAAAATCCTTAGCTGAATTAGGATTTGAGATCAGATTCTAATCTCACTGCTCTAGAACACACAAGTCTATTCAGTAGCCACCAGATTTCTAAGTTTTAGACATAGTTGCATGCCTATTACGAAGTATGTCAGGAGAAGATTATAATTTCCCCATTTGTTAAGCTTTTGCTTTTTATTTAATTTTTAGGGAGTAGGATAATAGTTATATCTGCTACCCCAAAGGAAGGTATGGCATTGGGAAATAGAGCTAACAGGATTTTTTTTACAGTTCTTTCTCAATCTGAGATTGGTTACCATACCAGAAAACTGATTAATTTAAAGTCCCGCAGCTGACTCCTGGGCAGTGAATAGCAAAATATCTGTCAATGAGAATGTGGTTCTGAGAAATCATATTGACCTGGCACGTTTTGCTAAAATTGGGTTTGAAAAGGAAAAAACATATCCAATTTATTCAAGTTATTTGCAGCAATATAAGATTGATGGGCAAAGAAGTAATCTCTGCATAATTTTATTTTATTTTATTATAAAATTATTGGCCTCCCAAATTACCATAAGGTAACTCTGAGCGGTTACAGACAAACAAACAAAACAAAAATAAACCTACATTAAAATCTGAATAAATTAAAACCACACATTAAAATCAACGACACGTGGACAGGATAGCAATAGAATGGTTACTCGATCAACCACATCTACTGTGCTTTTTCCCACATTGGGGCTGCAGGCCAACTGGCAGAGCCAAGTCTTTAGGTCCTTACAGAAGGATAGGAGGGCTGGGGCCAACCTCGCATCAGGGGAGCAAGATGTTCCAGAGGGCAGGAGCAACAGTATAGAAGGCCCTCCTCCTGGACACTATTAGCCAGAATAATTGGGCTGACAGGACCCACAGCATGCCAGCACAAGTGGGACGGTCCAATCTCAACGGGGTTAGACAGTCCCTCAAATAACCTGGATCCATGCCATGAAGAGTTTTAAAGGTGATCATCAACACCTTGAATTGTACCTGGAAACAGACCAGCAGCTAATGCAGCTTGTGGAGTAGTGGTGTTATAGGGGCCATTAATGGGGCCCCCAAACTGCCTGCACCATTGTACTCTGAATGCTCTTCAAGAGTAGCTTCATGTAGAGCGCATTACAATAGTCCAACCATGAGATGACAAGGGACCGAATGATAATAATCTATACTTTCTAAATTCTCATACAATAATACTTGGCATTATTCTCATAAATAAATTGGTAGCAGCCTCTGCAGTAACCTGCAGTGGTACTGAAATGGTGACAGGAAATGGTAACATCATCATATAGATATTGCTTTTATGTAGTTGCATCCCAATGTCTAACACAAGTTAAGATTTTTCTTTTTTAGCATGAGTTTTGGGCATGACTTTATGATTTTGAATACTACAGTCTAGTGCATATTAATGAATAAGTGTTAAGGATTATTAATTAACAGCAACCATAATAATTTAATTAAACCACTATTAATTTATAATACCCTCTTTCCTCTGGAACATGTTTTTTTGTATACAAAATTATATACCAAAATTTACTTGGTCAGTCTCTTTTAACATGAATTCATCCATATATTTCTTTTGATCAGCATCTCAGATTCTTAAATATGCATGCATATAAGATAGTTTTCTCCCTTTGAAAGAGATACAAACCCTTTCTAGGCTGCTAAGGGCGTATATTTAGGAAGGCCATCATGCATTAACTTTAAGCAATTACTTTACCTATGAAGTGGTGGGGGTTTGATCTTTGGTTTCTCAGTAACCGAAGATGGAGTTTTGATTTGAGGTTTAGCTGTTGGTGTTGTCTCAAAATCCCGATTCAATTCCTCTTCCGTTTTCTTGATGAATTCATCATAAGTCTGATGTAAAAAAAATAAGATATTAGAAAGACCTTAACATTATCTTATTCTTTATTAAATTTGTTTTCAAATATTAATCTTATTGAATATTGAAATTTGGAAGTGTGTGTGTGCGTGCGTGAGTGTGTAAGATATACAAATGTTTTATAGTTATTATATAATTTAACCTATGAAGATATTTTTATTTTGGTTTTGGTCAATATTATTATATTACTATCAGTATCAAAGCAAACTCAAAAGGAAAAAATATTCAAAGAAAATGAGGCAAAAGAAAACATGGGAATATCAATATGTAACATACACACATTCTATTTTAACATTTCTTTCAAATTAATTCTTACCTCCAACTGTTTGATCAAACTTGCTTCTTGAGCTTTAAGTTTCTCTTTGAGCCTCTTCTTCTGTTCTTTTTTCAGCCTATAAACAACAGACTTTTTTTTCCGCACTTCGTCTTTCAGAGCCCAGATTCGACTTTCAATGTCACTTTGATCAGATGTAGTTTCTAAAAAAAATAAAATATATTATTTAGAAAAAATATTTTATATTTGCCTGCTAGAACAGCCACATAAACCTACTTTACCTAATCACTGTTAAGAATCCAATCTCAACCATAATTACAATAAAATTATCTTATTTATTAAAAACAGAACTAAAACAGAACTTCTAAATTTAAGTGATACGTAAACTAAAGTGATAAACATGATTTGTTCCTTTTACCCATTCCTATCCTTTCTCTGTAATCTTTCTGATGAGGGGTCTTGACTTTTTCATTTCCCAAATTGAAAATTGGTGGAAAATTGCAAATATGTTATATTTAATGTTGTAATCTACATAGAATTCAAGCCCCATCAACTCCAATGAAAAACTGAGACCCATTAAAAATAGTTTAAAAATTATAAAAAGGAAGTTGAAGCCCTAATACTTACCTGATTGGGTCATGGATAAAGACTCATCAGACCAACTATATGAGATATCCTGAGATTTTGTAGATGACAGCTGCTTTCCTCCAGACTTCGGTGTTTGTTTGTTTGATTCTTGTTTTGATAGAGATGCACTGCTTTTGCAAGGAGACTATATCAAGATGAAAAAAAGAGTAAATAAGGAATATATATCACACGCACACACACGCGCACACACCCCTCACACTAATTACAAGCATGGATTTATTTATAATTTATACTAATTACAAGCATGAACTTATTTTGATTTCTGTCTCTCTCAAGCAGGGGAGGCCAACTAGTTAGGGAAATCTTGTTGCTGGACAAAAAATGGCAAGCCTCTGATGCCCTCTCAGATACCAAGCAAGGATTTCAAACAGATCCTTGTCTATGTCATATATTGCTAGAAGGAGAGACTTTCTGGATTTCTGATTTTTCAAGGTATCAGTTTACTTCTATTATGTCTAGGACCAAACATATGTCTGTGTTCTTTCTTTTTTTAAAAGGTTGTACAGAATGAAAAGAATCATTCCTGGAGAATCTTTTCTATGGTTGGAAGCTGAAGTAGGTAATGTATATCTGATAATATCTCCCACATTATAATCATATGCTTGCAGTTCTAAAGTAGAAATAATTTCTTCCCTGGAATTGTTCCAAAATCAAAGCTATGGGCCTTTTCTTCAGTACTCTTTGATTGGGGGCATAATGGCTCAGCAGTTAAAGATGTTGAGCTTGTCAGCTGGAGCTGATAGCCTGGGTTAGCGACCTGAGTGCCGTGCAATGAGGTGAGCTCCTGCCCACCTAGCTAGCACTTAGACTTAGACTTATATACCGCTTCACAGTACTTTACAGCCCTCGCTAAGCGGTTACAGAGTCAGCATATTGCCCCCAACAATTTGGGTCCTCATTTTACCACCTTGGAAGGATGGAAGGCTGAGTCAACCTTGAGCCTGGTGAGATTTGAACAGCCAAATTGCAGGCAGCTGCCAGTCAGCAGAAGTAGCCTGCAGTACTGCACTCTAACCACTGCGCCACAGTGGCTCATCTATCAGTTTGAAAGCATGCAAATGCGAGTGGATTAATAGGTACCACTTTGGTGGGAAGGTAACAGTGTTCTGTGTGCCTTTGGCATATAGCCATGCTAGCCACATGAACACAGAAAATGTCTTTGGACAAGATATAACTCCCTCGGCTAAGAAACAGAGATGAGCACTGCGCCCTAGAACAGGACATGATCAGACAGGAAAACCTTTCTCTTTCCCTTTCATCTGCAAAAGACCTTGACTACATGCTCAGAAAAACCTATATATTCATTTAGTGACCATTCAAAGATACAAAAGTACTGAAAGAAGTGACATATGACCTGTTCTCACATGACCGCTGCAGCATCTCTATAGTCACATGATCAAAATTTATGTGCTTGGCAACTGGCAAGCATTTATAATTGTCCCAGAGTCATGTGATTACCATTTGTAACAGGGGTGAAATCTAAAATTTGTTACTACCGGTTCTGTGGGCGTGGCTTGGTGGGGGTGGTAATGTGACTGGGTGGGCATGGCCAACTTTTTTTTTTTTTTTACTTTTAAAAGCATTTTTTCTACAACCTTAAGAGGTTGCGGAAAAAAATGCTTTTAGAAGCCTCTGACGATCAGGCAAGTCAGCTGGGATCGCCAGAGGCTTTTAAAGGCATTTTTTTTCCTACAATCTCTTCGGCTGAAGAGGTTGCAGAAAAAAATGCTTTTAGAAGCCTCTGACGATCAGGCAAGTCAGCTGGGATCGCCAGAGGCTTTTAAAGGCATTTTTTTTCCTACAATCTCTTCGGCTGAAGAGGTTGCAGAAAAAAATGCTTTTAGAACCTTCTGACGATCAGGCAAGTCAGCTGGGATCACCAGAGGCTTTTATAGGCATTTTTTTTTCTACAGCCTCTTCGGCTGAAGAGGTTGCAGAAAAAAATGCTTTTGAAAGTATAAAAAACAGCCTCTGATGATCGTGCGGCTCAGTTGGGTATGGGGGGGTGGTGCAGGGATTTTTGCTACCGGTTCTCCGAACCACCCGTCGCCATCACTACCGGATCAGGCGATCCGGTCCGAACCGGGAGTATTTCACCCCTGATTTGTAATCATTCCAACTGGCTTCCAACAAGCAAAGTCTATAGGGGATGTCAAATTCACTTAACAACTGCATCAATCATTTAATAACTGCAGTGATTCTCTTAATAATGTGGGAAAAAAACAGTAAAATACAATGTAATTTGTTTAACAATTGCCTTGCTTAACAACAGAAATTTTAGGCTCAATTGTAGTCATAAGCTGAGGACTACCTATAGTTTCATTTCATCTATACTTAAAACACTGTTATGTTTTGAACTAGATCTAAGAAGTCCTGAAGGAAACTGCAATACAAAGAAATAAATAAAATGAAGGCAATAAATATAAAATGATATGAAAAGCATAGAGAAAAGGTATTGAATAGATGAAGATCTTGAAAAGCAAAGAAAATGGGGAGAAATAAAGAAAAGACTAAGCTAAAGAGAAGGTAGGCAAAAGGTTTGGAGTTTTATTTCTGCATGGGAGATTAAGGAGCAAAACGGGTACTGTAAATCTTGGGTCTCTTTTAGGCATTCAGTTTTACCTGTTAAGACACCTGAGGTGTTTTCCCAACTTGGGCCCTGTCCCTACCCATTTTTCAAATACAGCCCTGAAATGCCAATTTGACACTTGAAGATAATGAATTTTCTGTGCTCCTTGAATAATGTTTTGAATATTAAGAAGACTGAAAGTTATTATCCTTGGAATTCTCAATTTCACATTTGAGATTACTCCCATCTGCTTAGGAAGATTTTCATAGGTAGTAAATCAACAGAATCTCAATCTCTCCCAAGGTCTCATTTAAAAATTGACCTCCAGCACCTCTTTCCTAACAGTACTCAAAGCACTTCAAGACTGTGGTCCTGAAATCTGAAGTCAAACTATGGGAACATTTTGTTTTTTTAAGGGCAGTAAGCAGTAAAATAGTATTTATGTTTCTGATATCACTAGCACTTAAATTTATATACCACTCTATAGTGTTTTACAGAACTTTCTGAGTGGTTTACAAATATCCTCATGTTGCCCCCAACAATCTGGGTCCTCATTTTACTGATCACAGAAGGATGGAAGGCTGAATCAACCTTGAGCAGCTCAGGATTGAACTCCTGGCAGTGAACACAGTCAGCCTTCAATAGTGCATTCTAAGCACTGCGCCAGATGTATTAACCCTATTTTACTAAAAAGAAAAAAAAAAAAGGAAAGAGGGGGGAAAGGGGGGGGAAGAAACTTTCCCCAAATAACCATTTACAACCTTCACAGAAGGATTCTGACAAGCAAAGCCAATGGGGGAACCAGATTCATTTAGTGACTGTACGATTTGCTTAATGACCTTGGCAAAAAAAATGTGACTCATTTAATAGCATCATCGCTTAATGATGGGAGTTCTGGTGCCGAGTTTGGTCATAAGTCAAAGACCATCTGTACGTCACTTCAACAGGGTTTTAGAGGCTGAAAAAATAGTTTAGGGTGACCCCACTCATAAAATGTTGCCTACTTTTGCTAGTGACAAAAGTCACCATCTTTTCACCCTTTTAGTCAAGTTTAATGTTGTATCAGAAATCATTTCATCTCCTTTATCCATCCAGTCTTAAATAACAAAGATTATGTAAGCATGGTATTTGGAGATTAAGTCACCTTTCCTATTTAGATGATCTCACATTAGATAACAACACCCAATCAACAGAGAAAACTACAGTTTAGCCTCATTCACTTAATCTGAGAAGTAAACTAGAAAAAGTATGAATTGTGAGTGCATCTCTTTTACCTTTTAACAGTATATTTTGTACATTTTTAACAAAATTACCATGTTGTGTTACAATAAATACACACTGGACATTACTTTTATACTAGAAGTAGCTGGAATTAAGAATGAATACTTCTTTTCTTTTTTAAAGAAAGTGTATGTTCAGACATTTATCTGACTGATGTACTAATGTAATATAATATTCAAATTAAGTCTTTAATTTAATTTCAAAGAATGGCAAATGGATAATCAAATTTACTTACAGGTTTTCCAGGAGAAACAGCAGATTCCGGTTCTTGTGTATAAACTATTTCTTCAGTTAGTGTGTGATCTAGGCTTCTAGGCTCGCCTTGAATCTCAGAAACCTTTGATGGAACAGACTCAACAACTAGATTGCTCAATTCTTCTGGGACCGAGCTTTCGCTATTTAGACGAGAACAAGGTGGCATTGAAGAGTCTTCTTCACTGGCTGTCTCTGAGAGAAAAAAAATGGAAAATGATCAATCCCTCAAAAACTCCCAGTACTTTACTGACAGGCTTTTAAAAACATTTTTATACATGCTTAGAGTCATACTAAAAATTAAGAAGACAGACACCACTGAACTTTTTGGCTTTTTAAACATATTTCAACATACAGTATTTGATCTTAATTTCCACAATATTGATCAAGGGATATAACAAGTATCATCCACTATTTACATTTTATAGTCCATAAACACAAAAGCAAATTTCACCTCTTGAAAAAATAGATATACCCCTACATTTATCATTATCTCAAATATCTAAATTAGAATTATGTGCAGATAATTAGAACATTGTTAGAGAAGAATTGGGAAGAGCCGGTCTTATTTAAACCTCAGATATTTAGTTTGATTTGCTGTTTTTGGTGAAGTTTGTGTTTAGATTGAAAGAGCTCTCTGAGGCCTTCAAAAAGAATTCAGAAAGAAGGTTATAGAAGTCCATGAGATTAGGTAGGGATTTAAAAAGATCTCCAAACAACTGGACATTAATCATTCCACTGTCCAGAAGATCATCTACCAGTTGAGATGTTAAAAACAAAAAAACTTTACAATGGGCGTACTTACTTTTTCATGTGATCATGTATGAGAATATATTGAAAATTTTAGAGAAATACATTTCTATATTATTATTTTATCTATTATTTTACCTATTATTCATTTGCTTTTTATATTGAAAATTTATCTCTCCTTTAAGTAGAATTGTTTGACACAAATAGTAAGCCAAAACCAATTATTTAAAAATTTGGGATAAGTATGATGTTTGAATGCAGCTTTTGGAACACAATCAGGTCCTGAATACATGAAAGCTACTTTCTTATTTTGCACAGGTACTTTTGTTGAACAAAATAATTTGGATAAGTCAAACTTTTTCCACAAAATCAGCACATTTCTAATATCAAGATTTAGAGCAGGGGTCAACAAACCATGATCCATGGGCCAAATCTGGCCTGCCACTTCTTTTTGTATAGCTCACAGGCTAAAAATAGATGGACAGATGGGCAGCAGATTGCTGGAACCAAGCCTCAGCTGAACTCCCATGATGAGGGAAAGAAATGAGGATGGGGTGTCCCAGGCAGTAGCAGCAGCCTATCATTGAACCAAGCTGTCCAATGGCTGCTCTGCTCAGGAAAGCAGATAGAAGAAGGGAATCCGGCCCTTTATAGAAAAAGTTTGCCAACTTTTAATTAGAGTCCAACAAATTAAATGTTATAGTTTCTACCTTTTTGATCAGATTTCTGATCTCCTGCTCCTTTTTTATTTGCTTTTGTTTTATGCAGTTCTTTTTCCCAAGCAGCTAGCGCTTGTTTTTCTATCTGACGTATCTCTGCTTCTTCTGCATCTAAACGTTGCTTCCACTGCAGCAGCTCCTCTGCATACTGACGCCGCTGCATCAGTTTTTGCTCTCGCTTGGTCAAGAACCTGATGAAAAAACAGGAGAAACTGTTCACTATTGTCCTGAGATATAAATATTCAAACTTCTGTTATGCTAGTTGGTAAAAGTGTTTCACTCGTATTGCTGCTGTGAATAAGAATGTGAGTCTGATTTTTTTTGTTAAAAGAAACTCCAACTCTATTGATATGGTACAAGGTGATAGGTAACGTTACTGATTGCTTAGTTTAGGAAAAGGGATGTATGTTTAGATATTAATATACTTAAAAGATTTAAGTTAAGAGATATACGTATGGGGGTAAGACATTACAGAAGATACTATATGGGATACAAATTTAAAGTCATTTGAGGGTTTTATTTATATATGGAAATATCTTTTAGTGATATGGGCAGAAGAATAAAGATATTAAATATATTATGTATGGTAGACCTGTAGGAAAGTGGGTGAAATAAAATTGATATGGTATAAGGTGATAGGTAACGTTACTGATTGCTTAGTTTTAGGAAAAGGGATGTTATGTTTAGATATTAATATACTTAAAAGATTTGAATTAAGAGATATATGTATGGGGGTGGAGGAAATGGGTAGATTATGAGTAGAATAAATGCCAAATTAGGATTTATTATATAGTTTCATAGCCGAATGTTGTTTTGAAACGTATAGTATATGGGGGACATAATAATAATGTTAGAAAGAAATGTTTAGTATATAGGGGGTGGTGTAAAAGGGTGGTAAAGTTTTATATAGTGTGATATTAATTTGGATTTCATCTTGTAGAAGCCATGGGGGGAGGGGAGGGGGAGGGGGGTTAGGGAGCGGGGGGGGGAAAGGGGGAAAAATTTGTATTTGAAAAACTTTTTCAATAAAAAAAAACCAAAAACCTACAACTCTGAAGTAACACACACACACACACACACACACACACACACACACACACACTAACTGTAAACAAAGTTCTTAAACTGCCTCTGCTCTTCAAGAAAAAAAAAAGATTGCTGTTCTATTTAGACTAATATTTAAGCAGTGCCACGAGAAAGCAGCATTAAGGCTACCAGACTTCTGAAAACCAGTTGTAGATCAATTTAGAAAGAAAGCTTCAGGGGTTGTCATTTAGCAATGGAGAGTTATCAAAATTTGATGTTTTTTAAACCACTGTAAAAATCAGGACATAATTCTCATTAACAACTGTAAATTAGAAATTGCACATCAGGCTTTCTTTCTAGGTACCATCCCCATTATACCCATTATAGTGGTTTCCCGTCTCCTAAGCTGTACTGAACTGATTTTCATCCGCCTATAGCAATACAATGCCTTCCACTGTTCCCTGTGACTTAGGCAACAAAGTAATTATTCTAAAATGGTAAATGATGAACAAGGTATTAAAAATGCAAGTTAATGATATAAATATAATCAAACTGGAAAGCATAGTAAGTGAATATAGTAAATTTGTAATAAATAAATATAGTTTGAATCTTTTAAGAAAAAAGAAAAGTGGAAAAAATCCAATAGTATGTCCCTTTGGTATTTTAATTAATTTTAAATTGTATCTTAAAACTTGCCATCAGAGAAAGTCACATTATCTAACGCTATGGTCTCTGATAACTGGAACAGAGATTACAAAAGGAGAATTACGTGAATTTAAATACATATCTGCAAATTAACAAATACTGGGGAAATTAATATCCAATTTAAATGAAAGTACCAGTATAATAAGGTTATATGAAATTAAGACATAGTCAAGTGTACTAGACCCTTGTACTCCCTAACAGACGAGCTCCCTGTTAAGTCACTATCTGCTATCTTATTTAGTATACCTAACATTATGGTAATAAGTTGTGATGGTTATAAAACAAATTGTCTATGATTGGACTCATTTTATAACCCTTTTCAGTTGTAAAGTCAATGATGTGCTCAACCCATTGTTTGCTATGGACTGATTTTGCCGAAAACTGGAAGTAAATGCTGAGTTTAGCAAAAATATTGCAAATCACAGTCACATGATTATAGGATGCCACAAATAGCTAAAAATGTGGGATGATTGCTGAGTGCCTGAAATGCACTCATGTGATTGTGTGGTATGGGGGCTGTTGGGAAATTGGAACAAGGTCATAAGTACCTTCTGCATGATCCATTTTAGCTTCAGTCAGTTGCCAAGTGAGGGCTTGGCAAATTGAGGGCTACATGTAAAACACTATTCACACACTGATTCTAAACAGCAGGATTTCTATCTAAAACAGAAAGGTCCAGAAATATTGGGACATTGACACAATTCTAACATCTTTGGCTCTATACACCACCACAATGGAGTTGGAATGAAACAAACACAATGTGTGTTAACTGCAGACTGTCAGCTTTAATTTGAGGGTATGTATATCAACTCAGGTGAACGGTGTAGGACTTACAGCAGTTTGCATATGTGCCTCCCACTTGTTAAGGGACCGAAAGTAATGGGACAGAATAATAATCATAAATCAAACTTTCCCTTCTTAATACTTGGTTGCAAATCCTTTGCAGTCAATCACAGCCTGAAGTCTGGAACGCATAGACATCACCAGACGTTGGGTTTCATCCCTGGTGATGCTCTGCCAGGCCTCTACTGCAACTGTCTTCAGTTCCTGCTTGTTCTTGGGGCATTTTCCCTTCAGTTTTGTCTTCAGCAAGTGAAATGCATGCTCAATGGGATTCACGTCAGGTGATTGACTTGGCCATTGCATAACATTCCACTTCTGTCCCTTCAAAAACTCTTTGGTTGCTTTTGCAGTATGCTTTGGGTCATTGTCCATCTGCACTGTGAAGTGCCGTCCAATGAGTTCTGCAGCATTTGGCTGAATGTGAGCAGATAATATTGCCCAAAACACTTCAGAATTCATCCCGCTGCTTTTGTCAGCAGTCGCATCATCAATAAATACAAGAGAACCAGTTCCATTGGCAGCCATACATGCCCACGCCATGACACTACCACCACCATGTTTCACTGATGAGGTGGTATGCTTAGGATCATGAGTAATTCCTTTCCTTCTCCATACTCTTCTCTTCCCATCACTCTGGTACAAGTTGATCTGGTCTCATCTGTCCATAGGATCTTGTTCCAGAACTGTGAAGGCTTTGTTAGATGTTGTTTGGCAAACTCTAATCTGGCCTTCCTGTTTTTGAGGCTCACCAATGGTTTATATCTTGTGGTGAACCCTCTGTATTCACTCTGGTGAAGTCTTCTCTTGATTGTTGACTTCGACACACATACACCTACCTCCTGGAGAGTGTTCTTGATCTGGCCAACTGTTGTGAAGGGTGTTTTCTTCACCAGGGAAAGAATTCTTCGGTCATCCACCACACTTGTTTTCCGTGGTCTCCCAGGTCTTTTGGTGTTGCTGAGCTCATCGGTGCATTCCTTCTTTTTGAGAATGTTTCAAACAGTTGTTTTGGCCACGCCTAATGTTCTTGCTATCTCTCTGATGGGTTTGTTTTATTTCTTCAGCCTAATGATGGCTTGCTTCACTGATAGTGACACCTCTTTGGATCTCATCTTGAGAGTTGACAGCAACAGATTCCAAATGCAAATAGCACACTTGAAATGAACTCTGAGCCTTTTATCTGCACATTGTAATTGGGGTAATGAGGGAATATCACACACCTGGCCATGGAACAGCTGAGAAGCCAATTGTCCCAATACTTTTGGTCCCTTAACAAGTGGGAGGCACATATACAAACTGCTGTAAGTCCTACACCGCTCACCTGAGTTGGATGTACATACCCTCAAATTAAAGCTGACAGTCTGCAGTTAACACACATTGTGTTTGTTTCATTCCAAATCCATTGTGGTGGTGTATAGAGCCAAAGATGTTAGAATTGTGTCGATGTCCCAATATTTCTGGAACTGACTGTGTGTGTGTGTGTGTGTGTGTGTGTGTGTGTGTGTGTGCGTGCAAAAAATTAAAATCCCGCGTCATGTTAAATAAGTTAGTTAAAATGTTTAAAATTCTGGTTAAAATCCTAGCTTAAAATCTTCCAAAAATCCTTACAGAGCACTCTGCAAGGTCCTTTTAAAACCTTAGCTAACTTATTTAACATGACGCAGAGCTCTCATAATTCAAGGACTGGTTTGAGGCTAATAAATACTGAAATATTGTAATGAACCATAGCACAATCTGAAATCAACCTTGTTTCCAATGCTTTTTCAAAACTCACATAATTTACAACCAGTGAAAGACAACAAATGGACAATTGAGGATACAATTTAGTGTCAAATTATACTACAAAATATAAATGTTACTGCTACTTTGCTGGCTGCATTTGGATGGTTCAGTGTGATCAGATAACTAAACAGTTCAACTGGAACCCAATATTTCCAACTCTAAAGGTTCAAGTACAGAGATAACATAAAAACAAGACAGAGACAAGTATGTTTTATATATGATATTTTTCACATGCAAGCATCCTACTAGCTTTCCATGTCTGCTGGGTGAGAAATTTCATGTTCTATATATCTTCAAGTTTTAGACACAGGAGAGGGATCTGATAGAAAGGAACTTTCACATAATTATCACCATTTTTCATTCTTTTTCAAAGAGATACAATCCCTTGTCAATTTTGTCTGATTATAATGATTTAAGACTTCATCTAGTTATGTGTAGCAAAGGTGAGTACAAGCATTCTTTTCTTGGCTACTTAGAACCTATTTTTCTATATAAGAATTTGTCTACAAATAAACTATTAGGCTGAAGTCACTGACCAAATTTATGGGGTCTACTATGAGACCAGAAATATTCTTACAAAAACAAAACAAAACAACCTCTGCAATCATGTACATAATGTCAGATATTCTTTTCTTTGTAATATTATTTTATTGCAATAAGTGTGATTAGAGTTGGGACAGACAGCAAAAAGGTATCTATTAGCACATAGACACTTCATCTTGGCTCATTTATGATCCGAGACATAAAGCAATTTATTAAATATAAACAGTGGTGAAATCCAATTTTTTTTACTACCGGTTCTGTGGGTATGGCTTGGTGGGGGTGGTGTGGTTGGTGGGCATGGCAGGGGAAGGATACTGCAAAATCTCCATTTCCGCCTGACTCCAGGGGAAGGATTCTGCTAAATCCCCATTCCCTCCCCACTCCTGAGGGAAGGATATTGCAAAATCTCCATTCCCATCCCACTCTGGGGCCAGCCAGAGGTGGTATTTGCCGGTTCTCTGAACTGCTCAAAATTTCCGCTACCGGTTCTCCAGAACCTGTCAGAACCTGCTGGATTTCACCCCTGAATATAGAGCTATATCTTACTATTCCACAGTAATCACTCCCAAATCAGAAGTGATCCCAACCCTTACTCTTTTCATATATTTACTACGAAGTGCTCCAAACTTCCTCTCCTTTCCAAATACAATTTTTAAAAAAAAAATTATTATTGTTTAGTCACTGTAATTCCACTACAAATACAAGATATATTTCTGGAAATTCTTGTAGAAAAATGCTTAAAACATTCCAGTAGTTTGTGAAGTTTACCACTGGTTTTTAAATAAAAATGAAACCAGTGCCTCAGATTCTCCACATTCACTAAAAATAGAAAGTCTGAATTCCAGAGATGAATGTTATGAAGTCTCAAAAACTGCTGAAGTAATAGCCAATTAGCTATCAAGAACAAAGGAAATAGGTTCAAAATCTATGTGGTTCTAGCGTTTTCTTCCACATTAGCTAACAATTTTCTCTCCATTCTCTTCTCTATTTCTTACATCATACGAACTCATGAAAACACTCCAAGTTATTTCAGGGAAGATGCAATTACTGAAAACAACAACAAAAATTTCTGAATTCTGACTTGAACTCACTTCTATGGATTTGAATTCTTACTCAGGAAAGAACAATTTCTACTGTTATAGCCTCATACAAAGCCAATTTAAAAAAAAAACAACAATTTAAAAGAGATAAAAGATGCTCTCATGTCTTCCCTGGGCCTTTTCATTAAGTTAAACATACCTAGTTCTCTTAACTGTTCATTGTATGATTTAGCCTCCAAACCCATTATCATCTTTGTTGCTCTATTTAACTAGTTAGAGATTGTCAGCTATCTATTGTCAGAAATGCCTGACTTTATACAGGGAAAGAAAGAGTTCTAAAAGAACTCCTAATCATTTAAAATTGAACAGGGCATGCTCAATCAAAGAATCTACCACTGAAAAAGGTAGGAAGTTACCTGACCAATTGGTTGTAGATATACAGCTGGAATTTGGGATGGAGGTTGGGAAAACAGACACTGAGAGAAGCCCAGTGGTGAGACGTAAAGACAGAGAAGAAGTAGTGAACAGGAGAGCAGTGTCTACAAAATAAGGAGGAAGAGTTTTAAGCCGATAACAAGAGACAGACAGAAAGCAAGAGCAGGAAAAGGTCTAGCAGAGTTTTAAATGAATCTCAAGTGTCAAACAGCATCATCCATCAACAAGTAGAATCTTTCAAACTGCAACAGAAAATAAGCATCACTTAAAATTCTTTATTCCTTGTCCCTGTTTCTTATACTAGCAACTTTACCTTATTATGGTATAATGCTATAGATAATTCTCCAGTTGTTTAAAGAATTACATTTAAGGGCAATTCCAATTATTCATTTAATAGTGCATTTTAAAAAGCTTATTACACTATTTTAATTAATTACTCCAAGGTTTCAAGTTGTGTTGTATTTATTGTATTTACTGTATTTATACCAATAGCAATAGCACTTAGACTTATATACCGCTTCACAGTGCTTTTACAGCCCTCTCTAAGCGGTTTACAGAGTCAGCCTATTGCCCCCAACAATCTGGCTCCTCATTTTACCAATCTTGGAAGGATAGAAGGCTGAGTCAACCTTGAGCCCGTGTTTAACTATTATAAACTAAACGAACAAAATCCAAAAATCAAACAAAAGCAGAGCTTTAGCTCATAAGATTGCTTAGTTTAAAAATGGCTCAAATCTTTATTAAATTTAAGAGTTTATAGGCGGTCATTTTGCTTCCATTTTCATGTATTGCTTTGTAGCACACAGCATATTATTAAATGCCTAACCAGAAAAGTAGCAAAAATTAAGAAAAAAAAAACTGAAAAGGCTTTTAGAGCATAGAAGCCACTACTAGCGAAAGATAGTTAAGAATTTACAAAGATAAGACCAAAACTAATATCAAAAGAAATTAATTCTTTGACAGAGCATGCTCCTATTCACATGCAAACCATTCAATAGCCTTGCCTTCATTATCCAAAGATCAATTATGTTACTCCCCAGAATCTCTATTAGCCAAAATCTTATTGGAGGCATCATTATCCAACTCATCTTCACCATTTAATGTTTTTTCAAAGCTATGCTAATTTTTTATATGTTCTTTCCAAACTATCCTGTTTCCCCCAAAATAAGACATCCCCTGATAATAAGCCCAATCGGACTTTTGAATGCATGGCAATAAGGCCAAGCATTTATTTCAGGGTTCAAAAAATTATAAGACAAGTTCTTATTTTCGGGGAAACACGGTAATATAATATCCTACTTAATTATGCATTATTTAGCATTTATATATGTATCTTACATTCTATTCTCACTCTAAATTGAAATATTGGCAATACATTTCTTTTAATAAGCAGAGTAACTGCTGTTCTTCCATAAACTTAAAAACTAGAGAGATTACTTTTACCACGACATTATTTTTCTTCTATTATAAACTCAAAAAAAATTGTGACTAGAAGTCCCAAGCTCTTAAGATATTCCGAAAGTCATAGAATTTTCGTGTTTTCAAAATAGTTTCTTAAAGGATTGTGAAAAATTGACAAAGATTCAATTCTACTATTGGAACCCAGGAATATATACCAATGTCCTATATGTATTCTAAAATACCATGCAATAAATAAAAACATTTTTAGGATTGAATTTTTCATTACTACATTCAGTAGCTATCTCGCACAGAGCTACATCTTCCTTTTGTTGTGAAGGAAATATTAATTGCACATTCTATGTACTATAGAGAGATGTTTATTACTACAAAAACCAATTTTCCCCCATAAAATTGTGACAATTTAGCTCAATACAGTTTCAAATTCTAATATTCTATAATAGGAATCCATTTTTCTCCTGATGACATCGAATTTTCAGGCATAAGAATATATTTTGATTGAAGATAATTCAAAAAGAAAAGCAACTTTTAAAAAAGCTATATTCAAACATTACATTACAGCAAGCATTCTGCATTAAAGTAATATAACTGTGTATATAAAATTCCTATCTGTAGCTGCTGCACCAATTGCAAGAAGGGGCACATATATAGATTTAATGAAAGTACATATGCTTTGCCTTCAGAAAGCCCCACATTCATTTTTTACTATTACCAGTTAAAGATTATTTCAAGTATCAGGAACATTAGTTTTTCATGCCTATTCATGATGGAAAGGCAGTCTGTATATTCATGCTTATTAATATATTTAAGCTACCAAACCACCATCAAGACTAAGCTGAAATTCCACAATAGCTGTTGGAAGCCATTTCTATTAGGAATAAAACAAAATACAAATTACTTCTCATCCATTCGTCTCCGCATTTTCTTTAATTTCTGCATGATGCTACTTGTCTCAGAGCTGGAAATGGAGGAAGGACTATAGGCCTCTGCATCAGTTGGCTGAGGGCTCGTGGAATGGGTTTGTTTTTTATCATCTTCACTGCGGTGTTCCTAAAACAAAGAAACAAATAGAAATCACTTAAGAAGTCAGAAGAAGACTGTACTAGGTTTTAGATTTGCCATATGCTCAAATGAGGCAATGAAAATTTTCTTCAGATTTCTGTAGAAGAGTTATTTCTAATGCTGATAAAAAGGTTGAGAGTTATCAAGACAGGATCAGAGAACTCTTTGTGAATTTAGAAGCCTTCTGGACAGAAAGAGTACTGTAGAAGCAAATGGACAAGAGTTTTGCCTCGCTAAAATTGTCTATTTATAGGTTTCTAATTTGAAATTAAAGCTGGAAATTTTGCAGTATAACTTTTTATAAATATTATTAAACCAGAGGTTTTTGATTCTTGTTCTCTAGATTAACTTTTTCCAATCCATTGTTCTCCGTGGAACAAAGTCTGACACTGTTTTCAAACTTTCTTTATAGGTAGTCCTCATTTAGCCACAGTAATTGGGACTGAAATTTTTATTGCCAGGCAATGTGATCATAAAGTACAATGTCACATGATCATGCTGCTTAGCAACAACAGTTCTGGAAGTATCTTTTATCATTTTTAAATAAGGACTATGTGTGTCATTAAATGAGAACCTGGTATTAACTGCAAGCTCTGACTTCCTGCCAGCTTCCCCACTAATTTTGCCAGTGGGAAGCTGGCAGGAAATATCACAATCATATGAGCACAGGGGCATACAATGGTTAGTAATCTGGGCCAACTGCTCATTGCAATCATGTGATGGCAGAGACACTGTGACAAGTGGAACTTCAAACATCAGTCCTAGGTACTATTCCTTCAGCAGTACTGCAACTTTGAACAGTCACTGAATGAATGGCCATTAATAGAGGACCACTTGTATTTTATTTTTTAAAAAACAGAAATTTTACGTTCTAAAATCTTGAGACTTTTAAATAAAATTTGCTGGTAACCAAAATACATAGTGTATGTGGATTGAGAATGATGTTGTATCACTTTCTTAGTTAGGATTCTTGTATCAATTATACACACAATACAACCAACATTAAAGGTTAGCCCCATATCTAAGATTATTACAGCTACAACTGCTATACTAAGAAAAATAAAGTTCATTTATTCTTTGTTTCTTAAGAATGTCACAAATTTTATTCTTCAAATGAAATGCTGTTTCATTTGACAATGTCAACTGGATAAAAAAAATAAGCAGAATAATTGCATTATCACCTTGCTTTCTCCTGCAGACTTGAGTTTTTCCTGTAATTTCATAGTGGTCTGGCGTATCCGTTCAATTTCTTCCTGCTGTTTAAGAATAAGTTGCCTTTCTTTCCGTGCTGCCTTATTAGCTTCCTGAAGGCGCTTAATTTCTGCCTTTATGGGTAAACAGGATAAAACAAAACAAAAAATAAGCTGTTATTTCCTCATCAGTTTACCTCTTAAATATCCTTGGTTTTTCATTTTTATTCTATGCTGTGCCACACTTTACAATTTTCTGCTTGTTGCTTTTATCCAAAGTTTATTAGAAGTTTATCCCAATCCACAAAGAATTCTCCACTCTCTCCTTCTACTTTATATTCTGTTAATTTATTAATTTTGTTTTTACCTCTGTATGTAATCTTCTTTCTAAAAATGTAAATATTCTCTCATCTTTCCCATACACACTATTTAGAACTTATTATGACTTTGGTTTTTCTCTCTTTATTCTTTTTTCTGAATTCTGTGTATCACTATCTTTGTTACTTTTAAAACAGTTTTCCTAGGACAAGTTATAGCAATAGAAATGCATTAATAAATTTTTTAAAACTAAAACTAAAATTAAGAATCCTCAGCTTTTAATTTTCTTTACTGTCTGTTCTTCAATTTCCTTCTTGTTTGGTTACTTCAGATCCAAAGCTTGTGAGCAGGGGCAACATCTACTGAAGCCTATTTGCCCCCAAATAGTGTTCATTGGTAGCAGTTTGCTTCAGGAAATTTCCCTTGCAAATGTCAATTTTCCTAGTTATGATTTTTTTAAAAAGTTAATTAAGAACTTTCCTTCACATCCCTTTGGTAGTTATGATTAGTGTGGGGGTGGGGAATAGTATTCCCTATATTTTCTCTGTATTTGAGTATTATCTGTTTGCTTTCTATAAAATAATTTGTCCTGCTTTGTGGGTGTAAATGTATGATTTGGCACAAAGACTGAAATGTTCCCTACCTTTGCACTAAGATTCTTGAACAAGTGACTAGCCACAAATGACTCTAATTGGAAATTTCCATCGCTAAGCAAAGCCGTCATTAACTGGAAGATCATGTACCTGCACCACTTAGGAATGGCAGTATCAATATTTCTGGTTGTGAGCAGGACTACACAGTCATGAGGTGAGTACCTCATACTTCTCCTGCACAGCCACCTTACCTCTACTTCAATTCCCACCTATAGGTGATCTCTCTCCCATCTCTGCCTTTTTGGTCTTCTTGCACTCTGTAACCACTTACATGAAGGCCGTGCATGAAAAATGAGCAGGGGCCTCAGTCTGGGTGCACTTCATCAGCAGCAGGAGGAAGATGGCAAAAATCAGCTGGGGACAGCAGGTGTATGTACTGAAGTGCAAGGCAGCCAAAAGGAAAGGAGAGAGAGATGGGGAGATAGGAGCATGGGGAGAAATGAAGTCCATGCTGTGGTCATAAATGCAGGTGGGTTGCCAAGGTCCCAAAATTTTGATCACATGGCTGTGAGGATGCTGGAACAGCTGTAACTTTAAGGACTGGTGGTACAGATAGTCATCAACTTACGACCATAATGGAGCCTGTCCATTAAAGTCATGTCATGATGGTCATTCAGATCACATGATTGCTTTACTTAACAACTCACATCCCTACTCTCCCTGATGTGGTTGTTAAGCAACTGCATGGGCCATTAAGCAGAGCACATGTGTAGGAGGGCCCTGGAAGGTGTAGTATAGGGCTAGGCCTGCCTGCCCTGGGCTTCCCAAGGCCTCCCCACCCTGAGGCACCCTGTGCTCTGCTTTCTGTTTCTCAGCGCTAATTAACTATTGCAAGAAGATCACAGAGACTGAGTACAAACAATAGCATGATGAAGCAGCAAGAATGCAAGATGCACTGAAATATCTGTAAGAAATACAGCTTGCCTACAAGCAAGAACTGGTGGGACCACAAAATAGACCAAGTAAAAGAAAATGACGAAGCTAAAGTACTCTGGAATTTCAGAATTCAAACGGACAAGCACCTGCCACATAACACCCAGACTTAACAATTTCAATAAGACAAACAAAAAAAGTCTGGATAGTGGACAATGAGTACCTGGAGACAGCAGAAGAGAAGAGAAAGAACTGGAGAAAATCACAAAGTATAAAGAACTGCAAATAGAAGTAGAAGAACCATGGCAATGGAAAGCAAATAGAGTACCAATAGGTGCCTTGGGTGCAATCCCAGGAGATCTGGAGCACCACTTGAACACCATCAGCATTGATAAAATCACCAACAGTCAATTGCAAAAGGCTTACATCTCGAGACCATTCTTTTAACACCATCAAAGAACAAAATCTCCCTATCCCAGGAAAGGATTCAGTAAGTGGATCAAAATGCCAAAGACAATCTAAACATCGGGTTGATTATGAAATTAAGCATAATAATAATAGTAATATAAGCAGCCTACAAGTATCTGGGCATTTTATAGTTGGATAACTTGAAGTATGGATAAGTTAAAAATGTGGTTAGTAAAGAATATGACCGAAGAGTGAGAAAATTGCTAGACAGAATTGAATGGTTGAAACACCATCAAAGCCATCAATACCTGCGCATTAATACCTGTTGGAATTATTAATAAGATCATCTGGATAATTTGGATTGAGAAAAAAAAGCACGTGACTATTCACTATGCATGACATCCCTCTAGTATATTGACAGATTATATCTGCCTTGCAGAAATGGAGGCAGAGATTCATTTCAAGTCAAATAAACTGTCAAACAAAGAAAGTTTGCATTGGCTGATTAAATAAAACACAGCCAAGAACAAGGATTGATGCAAGTAAAAAACTGGAACTTACTGAATGGACAGGAAACAAAATGTGAATGCTGAAATAATGCAATAAAAATACAAACTGAATGCTGGCAAGGAAAAGCATTACATGCTCAATTTCTACAAAGATTTGAGGGCAAAGTGGATAAAGATAAAACCTGGCAATGGGTTATAACTGGAACATTAAAAAAATGAAATTGAAGTCTTGATTTTGGCTGCTCAAGAGCAAGCTAATGCAATCAAAGGTAGAACTGAAAAATGATCAAATGATTCAAAGTGCATATTGTGCAAAGAGGCAGAAAATAATTGTCTGAAATGGTATAGGGTTTCCTTCCTGAGCAGGGGGTTGGACTAGACGACCTCCAAGGTCCCTTCCAATCCTGTTATTCTGTTAAAAAAGAGTAGATCATATACTCAGTTTGTGTGTAAGAAGATCACATAAACTGATTATAAACAATGACATAACACAGTCGCCAAAATGATTCACTGGAACTGGAACTGTAAAAATGAAAAACTGATTGGAATATATAGTTGAAATAGTAGTCAAAAAGGAGTAGATTAAAATACTATGGGATTTCCAAACATAAATGTATAAAGTCTTGGCACACAATACCCACATTTAACTGTGGTTTAAAAGAATAAAATATGGATAATTGATGTGGTAATACCAAGGGATATAGAACAGAAGACAAAGAACTGGAGAAGATCACAAAGTATCCAAGATCACAAAGTATCGAAGTTGAAAGATTATGGCAAAAACCAACCCTGATGGTCCCAATGGTTATTAACACATTGGGTGCCAAAGGAAAAAATCTTGTACATTGACAACATTTCCAAGTGCAGTTACGAAAGGCCACACTAGTTGAATCTGCACATACTTTACGCTGCTATATTATGATATCCTAGCTTCTTGGGAAGAATTCAGTGCACATGAAGATCAATACCAGCTAAAGAACGGGCAGCTGTGATTTCACATGGTTGTGCGTATAATAATTTACAGTTGTTAATTTTGGGTTGCCACAGTGTATGGTATTCACTTTTAGAATAATACGTGCTGAAGTACTGTATCAAAATTGTCACTTTATGGGTCAAAATTGACATTTTCTCACCATTTATTTTACAATAAATGCTCTATGGCCAGTACTGTATACCATCCAACATAGTCAATTTAATTAAGAGAAAATATGTATTCACATAAATGTCAATTCAAATTATTAATATGATACTACAGTCTATTAAAATTAATATTTCTTTAAATAAATACATATGACATTAGTACTAACTACTACAAGTTACTCCAGTATCCCAGGACCAGCCTCTTGGCAATAATTGTTATGTATGTCGATACACTAAATAAAATGCAAGATAAGGTAGTATTTTGGATCAACATTAAGTCAACACCCCCCAATAAATCTATTGTAAATCTTAATAAATCGTTATTTGTAGATAGTTGCACTAATTATGATTATAAATATTATGACTTTCAGAATATTTGCATACCCAATTAACAATCTGTTTAACAACTAACTGACTCAGAACTACCTCAAAGTAAAAACACAATCATATGAACTCCAGCTCTTGGTGAGAGCATCTATTCAAGATTCTTGACAGGATGAAAAAAGTGCTTTGAAGGGGTTTGTTTCCTATCCAATCTACATCCCTGAAATTCTTGGGAGATCCTCTGTCCAAATTCTAACAATGGCCAGTCTCATTTACCTTCTGAGAATAGCCAAGATTGGCCAGGTATTCCCATCTATGAGGCAGCTCAAAGCAATCTAACGTAAAAGTAGTGTTTACCTTCTCTTGCTGAAGTTTAAGAAGCAGGCCACGTTGTTTTTTACGGATAGGTGGCATTTTATCATCTTCTCCTTTATCTCGTAAATGTCTAAAAATAAGTAGCAAAAAAATTAAATTTCTTTCAATTCTGCATTGAATTATTTTCCCTCATTTTTTTTCTTTTGGCTCTTTACACTATTGATAAAACACAGGAGTTTTATCTCAATGTCAGCAAATGCATAAGGAAATTTGGAAGCTATTCAACATTTGTTTAAAAAACTTAGATGTGAAGTGGGTGAGATAATTAAACATATGATACTATATTTAGGGCACGTCAAATTTTTCAACTTTCAATTTCCAAATGTTAGGGGTGCTCAAAAGTTGTGACATGCCTTGGGGATTGTAAAAATATTTTGGTTACTTTAATATAATTTAGATGTGCTTGGTAACTACATAAATATCATAACTTTTTAACATTTTGTTCGTTTCATATATTATAAGGAAAAGTATAAATAATCAAAGAAGCAAAACTGCATTTGAATCTTTTTAAAAAAGATTTCATTTGAGAAAATATCCTCATTATGATGTAATGTATAAAGTCATAAATACAAAGATGGGGTGGGTGCGAGTACAAACCAAACAAAATTAAAGACATTGTGATCATATTAAAATTGCAAAGAACTCTCCTTTGCTTGCTATCACGTTCATGACATTCATGAAACATTTGCAATAAGAATTTAACATAAATCAAAAAAGCCTGAAATCTTTAGGGTGGGTAAAACTCTTGGTTATGTTATACATTGTGGGGTTTCCAGCTTTACCGTTTCTGGTGTTCTAGCCAAGCTAGTTCAGCCTTAGTCTTCTCTTTAAGTGCCTTTTCACGTAATCGGAGCAGTGAAGACTGGTGAGCAGCTCGCATTTCTTCTTCTCTCATGTACTGCCGTACCATTTCCATTGTAAATTTAGAAAAACTGTCTTGCCCTCCTGAAAATGGCAGGTTTAGCTCCTGATAAAAAAATAAAATAAAAAATAGTTTCCCCAGAATTCACAATCTCTTTATTGGGGGCAAACTGTTGATGTACTTTTATACTAATTATTACCAGATTTCCACTCTTGCTATAAAGAAATATTGTTTTCTACAGTGCAGATACATGACTATTTTATGTATAAGGTATGTTCATTTAATAAATTTATATCTGAGAATATGAAAATGAGTAACTTGAGACAAGTAGCAACAGAATAACAGACAACAAGAGCATTAACGAAATTGCAGTTGAGGTGGAAGAGGACAGGGAAACATGATTTTCTAGCTGCAAAAGTATTCCAGCATCTATTATCCTTCCCAGTGCACCTGGGAAGAATCCCACTATTAACTCATATTGCATATTTACAACAGTATCTGAAACAGGCTTTCTAGGAAGACCACAAGCAGAAGCTGGCCTCCTGTAATTCTGTCTTTATAAAATGTCTTACTAAAATTATTAATTCAGCAAATGATATTTGGCAAAATGATGCATCTAAATTAGGTTTTAATACAGCTATTACCACTGGCAGCTATTCATAGATCAAACTTCCAGAAATCTCTATAAATCCACCTCACCTATAGATACTCATTTTTAAAAACAATCTTCCTGAATTATGCCTATTATTTATTGAATTATTCCCTCTGCATTCAAGGAGATCATTCTTTTCATTCTCCATGAAAAGATTTATGGGAAGAAAACCACAACTTGTGCAAAATGTTGAATCTTTAGCAGACAACATAATGATGAACTTTTGCAGATAGATTAGACCCAGCAGTCAGATTAGTGCAAAGAATGTCAGATGATGTCACCTTCAGTGAGCAACTAGGGGACAGGCCTATGTATTTATTTCTGTTGATTGTTTCACTTTTTATGACAAATGTTCTTCTAAAAGCAGTTACACGTATACTGTATAATTTGTAACAAATTTAAAACAGCTAAAACAACTAAAATATATGCATTAACAAACTTCCTACACAATCAATTGGCAATTGGAAAACAGGCTTATAAATGTTTTAAGATTCTGAAAAATGAACAGCTACAGCCTTTTGAAATCTTGCCTTAATAGGTGACAGGGTAGGCTTTCCAGGAGAAGCTTCCTCATCAGAATAAACTTGGTGATTTCGTTTCTTCAGATTGATCCGGCGGTGGCTCTCGGAAGGCAACAAAGACCGGAATGATTGCTCTTCAATATCATCTTCGGTCATAGACTCCTCAAATTTGAGGGAATATTCTGTTCCAATAGAAGTGGAATCTGAAAAGATACAATACAAGAAGGGGAGAAAATAAGGAATTCATTACAGTACAAAAAATGTTACAAAATAAGATTATGTTGCAAAAATTGAATGAGTAAATACTGACTGAATGGACAGAAATATAGATGTGCCTAACTATCAAAATTCCTGACCTTATTACGAAAACAATGAACATATACACAGACTCTTTGGATGACTATTACATAATAGAACTATGTAAACCCTTTGGGAGACACGTTTTGGGAAGATGCAAGAGCAGGTATGTACAGGTAGCCCTTGAATTGCAACCTTAACTGGAATCAGACGTTCCATCCCTATGTGATGCGGGTTGTAAAGCGTGATATCACCTAACCTCATTGCTTAGCAACAACAATCCCAGCAGACCTGGTTCTTGTAACCCAGAGATCACCTGGGTTGTTAAGAGAGGACCTATGTCTGGAGCCCTAGGCAAGCAAGCTGATTGGTGAGAGCTGTTGGAAGGTGATTGGGTGCGGTGGGTGGGTATTACTGGCCAGTGGGAGCCACAGGTGCTATAAATGAGCACTACTGAGTATGAGCAGGTAGGTCAGCAGGGGTTCTCGTACTCTGTAGTGGAGCACTTTAGAAAAAAAAGTGGGGGCAACAACTTTTGGGAGCAACTTGCAACTTTTCTGCTGGCCTTCCCGCCGACTTTGCTTGTTGATCATGTGATCACAATTTGCAGCAACATTGTAATTGCAAGCCACCTGCCCAAGTACCCGGATTGCAACATGATTGTGAGCACACTGTGATGGCTGGAATTCCAAGGACCAATTCTAAGTCCCTCTTCTTCAGCACCCTTGTAACTACGAATGCTCACTGAACAAGTGGTTGTAATCCAAGGACTACCCATAGTAGCTGTTTTCAAACCATTAAAGCTGCTGCAATGTTTCCTGGCTCTCAAATCAGGCTATGAACTAACCTTGCCCTCTTTCTGCTTGTATGTCTTGAGGTAAGGAAATAAACTTTACTATTTCTCAATAATAGTTCTTCCTGGAATCTAATGAAAACTACCATATTTTTCAGAGTATAAGACACACCTTTCCCCCCCCCAAAAGAAGGTGAAAATCTGGGTGCGTCTTATACTCTGAATGTAGTCCGACCCAGCCTCTGAAACCGAGGTTTCAGAGGCGAAAAAAGCCTCTGAAACAGAACTTCAGAAAAAAGGCCTCTGAAACAAAGCTTCAGAAAAAAAGCCTCAGAAACAGAGCTTCAGAAAAAAAGCCTCTGAAACAGAGGTTTCAGAGGCTGAAAAAAAAATCAAGGCACAGAGGTCACAACCAACAAACCTGTTGCTAAAATTCACCTCTGGGAACAGCTGATTGGGGGTATTCCGGGAGGCCGATCCACCCACCAATCAGCTTTTTTCTTATTTTCCTCCCCAAAAACTAAGATGCGTCTTATACTCTGGTGTGTCTTATAGTCCGAAAAATATGGTAAGTACAGTGATTGTAATATACATCCTTCCCCACCCCATTTCCAAAAATTCCATTTCTTGGAAATACCAGAGAAAGCAACCAAACAAATTCTGAAGATTTATTTCACAGCATTTGTACATGTAGGAGATTAAATTTACCATTTTTTTCTTTAAAATGAGGACTAGCACAAGAAGAAGAGGAATCCAGCCAATAGTTCTAAGAATAAGGAGGATGAAAGCAACAGCAAGCCAGGACAATCTGGCAGTGATACTGTCAGACTGCAAGTTCTGCAGAGACCAACAGATGGTTACTCAAAAACAAACATATAAAGAAATCAGGATGGTGAGAATGGGTAGGGAATTATTTTTATATTATTACCATGTAACCTATCAGCAAAACCTTGACACAGCAGTGGAAAGAACACAGTTATGAAGCAAAAATTGAATGAACATTGCTTTGGTTAAATATTGATCTGAAAACTAACCTCTCTCATCATGAATGGATGGGATACTATTATTCTGCAGTGAATCATTGACTGCCGTGGGAGCTTCCTCCTCAATGGTACTGCTTGGTTTTTCACGATGAGAAAGTTTCTTGGTTTCTTTGGAAGATGGACTTTCCTGCCGACTGCTGCTACTACTGCATTATAAAAAGGCATACAGGAGTCCTGAATTAATACTGATGTAATACACAGAATGAATTTGCACAGCTTCATGTTGTGTGCCAGTTGCACCCATTCCTGGATCCAGGGGCTTTGCTCATAGTCCCCCATGTGCTAGTCACTTCCCCTTTGGGTTTCTGCAATGTATTCTATATGGGGCTATCCTTGAAAAGTATCTGGAAACTTCAACTGATGAAGAATGCAGCAGCATGGGCAGTTGTGTGCATGCCCCTAGAGTGGAACACATTACATCTGTACTCCTCAAGCTGCATTGGTTGCCAGTTTGCTTCTGGCTCCAATTCTGGTTTTTACCTTTAAAGCCCTTCATGGCATGGGACCGGGTTATCTGAGGGGACACCTCTTCACAATTACATCTGCCCATTTCATAAGGTCTAACAGAGAAGGCATGCTATGAGCCCAACTGCTACAGAACTATATTTGTTGGGTCCCAGGAAAAAGGTCCTCTCTGCTGTGGTATGCCCCTTATGGAATCTATTCCCTCTTGGAAATGACATTAGCTTTATCCTTTTCAACATTTTGCAAGTCCCTCACTATGTTACTAGGCCTGCAGGTTCCAGGGGACCGGGGTGATTTTGTGATGCCTCCCTTACTGTGGCTACTATCATCCTCACCTCACCTGCTTTGTATTTTTAGTATAGTATTTTTAAATTGTGATTGTTTTATATATACTTGTTGATTTCTTTAATGCAGTGCTATATACTGCTCCAAATCACTTTCCTGCGAGTTTAGGAGCTATACAAATAAAATAAAATATAAAATAAATAATGAATTCGAAAATATGTGCTTGCATTGTGTACTCTTTAAACTCTTCTCCCCTAGGAATTCACTTTCACATCACAGAATATAAAATTTAAATTAAATATTTTAAAAATCCAAGGTCCCAATATTTTACAAGAAACAGAATCACGGTCTTCGATAACTTAGTGATGGCAAATGTTTTCCGTCCTCAAGACACTGGTGGCTCAAAACATTTTTAGAAGAACTGTAAAGTCCACTGAGAAACAAACAAGCACGTAGTTTTGCTTCTTCATAATTTCCATTTGCTCCTGATACTTCATGCCTGAAAAGTCAGAATGAGAAGTCTCCCTACTTTTAGGGCTTGTAAGTGTATTAGCAATTTTGAAAAAATGTCAATCTCTGCAAAATTTGCAAAATAGCGCTTGTAATGGATGCAAGCAGCAAAAATAACCATCTCCCAGAAGTGAAAACTGATATTTGTCCTTCTTAAAAAAGATATTTGTGCAAAAAAATTAATTTCAGTTCGGGAGAGCATGCAGTCAGAGATGTACTCGGAATCTAGAACTCTCGCTCATTTTCAAGATCATCCTCTTCAAATTACCTCATTAACCTTGTAAACCTCACCATTCAAAATTGACTCACTCTGAAATTCACAAACCAAGAACCTTCAATTTGCCTGCAAGTCATCACCAACATATGCTTAAGTTTCATGCAGGCAGTTTTTTAAAATCTGTTAAGACTAATAGCTCAAGAGAAAGTCATTTCAAATATCTAACCCAAGGCTTTAGCAACAAATTTGAAGTCTGAGTCTTTATCAATCAAACATGTGCAGTACATTTAAAATCTGAAAATGCTACCTCAAGCTTGATATAGATTATTCCAACCTTACCTTACTAGAATTATTCTTATGCGGTTCTACTATTCTCAAACTGTTCTAAATTCAAACAGATCCATTTTAACTCAAAATAGGTGTCAACAGGATCCAATTTGAGCTTAGACAAGTTGTAATGTTTCCTGCAAAGTCCAAAAACTGTGCCATTCAAGCCCAGAAATTGGGTACTTCAAGTCCAAAATATTTCATATTCAAAAATTTCTGCATACTACTTTTCAGAAACTTATTCCCCCAATTAGCTAGCATTTCTATTTACATATTATTGGGTTTTCAGACTCTGTATACTGCCTTGAATCTTTTGATTTTACAGCCCCATAAATATAATGAATTGTTAGGGTTATTATTTATAAATATAGCAATTGGTTTAAGAATATTTTGACCTAGTTTTGAATTCACAAAAATAAATATAGGTTACTGAAAATACTATTTGGAAAAAAGAACCTCAACCTAGCCATCATTTCAGTAATGGTTTTCAAATCCCACCATATCGGTTTGCTTGTGGGCGTGCACATACTCACGATGTTTCTTCGCATGTGCAGACGTCCAGGCGGGTGGGCGGAGCCTCCCACCGCCACCGCTACACCCAATCTGGGGCGAACCGGTAGCCACCCACCACTGTATCATTTCCTGCATTAAGTAAACTAAATCATCTTACTTGGTTGAATTTATACTTGATATATAGTGATTATAAATCTTGTGTCTCACCTCTGATCATGTGCCTTTGATCTTGATGATTCTGAATAGCTATCAAATGCATTTAAGTAACGATGCTTTGAGTCATTTGTCTCCTCTCTACCTGATGGCGTGGTGATTGAATCTGGTTTTCTATTAAAGAAAACAGGAAAGTTTGAATTATTTTAAAAATCACAGCAGCGTTTGCAATTGACTGACAAATAACTGAATACAAATGCAATGTATTAACGTAAAGTAAATGGTAATTTCCAATGTAGTATATTTGTATAAGAATCAGCTTTTATTGTTCCTTTTTCTATCAAGTATAGGAGAACAAGGGAGGATTCCTAAATTAGCAAAGCTCTAAGCACATAGTTCTGTGCTGCTTCTTTCTCACAATAGATGAGGTATTTGATAGGAGAAGAAAGTTTCATGCCAGAGAGCCTGTGAAACAGATCTAAATTGGTTGGAAAAACTAAAAGGCTTTTCCTTTCAAAACCAGCATTTGGGGGGAGGGGGAGGGGTGGGCAAGTATGCCCCTATAAATCAAACTGTGCTTTAGTACTATGTACATATTGACAAAGCTTCATTTGTAGATTTTTTTTTTTTTAGCGTATGGCATGTGTTAGCCAGGGATCACGGAGGTGGCTGGCTGCCTCTTTGAAGGGAATTTTTTCGGGCGGTGTTATCTTACTGCAGGACACCTGAATGCCAGTAAGCAATCGGGGGAGGCTCCTTTCCTGTCCCTATGTGATTTATTCACTCATGGGAATCAAGCCGCCAACCTCAGCGGAGGGCTGGCTCAGTGTTTTACCACATGAGCCACCGCAGTCCCCATTTGTAGTTATTCCTTCCCTACATACTTGAGGCAAATTTATGAAAACAAAATTACAGAGTGAGGTGGCAACTTTCTATGACTGAGGTTTTCCTAAAGGCCTATAAGTCAGTCAATGGAATTATCAAGGAAATCTACTATTTACAGATGCTTTGATGAAATTTCTTTATTGAAGTACCTTCATTAAAAATATTACAGCCTCAAATTAAATTTCTATATAAAATACCTGTTCATATTATGAAGCTTTAATTGCTTTATAAATTCTGAACTGTGCTTCCGTTCTTGGTCAAATAATGTAGTAACTGGAGCTGCAATAGTACCAACTGCATCAGAGATCTGGAAACGTGCAAGTTCTGTCATCTAATAAAAAGCAGAACAAAATACAGGTTTCAAATGCACCAATGAACTTCTTATGGGCTAAGGTGTAAAGATCCACAGAAAATAACTCACTTCTCGTATCTGACGAACAGTATCTGCAGTCAACAGGGCTGTCTCCAGCTGATGAGTTGCAATCTTAGATGTGGTATCCTGTAGAGTCTCAGCTGCCTCTTGATGTGATTGTGCCAACAGATGTAATGATTCGGCATGGGCCTATACATGGTGATACAAGTTTGGTTTTGAAATCTATTTACTTTCACTAAAAGTGTAGCTGTGCTTTGACCTTAACCTGAACATGAAATTCTTCATCTTTGCCTTAGGGGAGGGATTGTTACCTTAATAACAAAACTTATTTCATGTTACTGATAGGAAATGTAATTTTAAATCACAGTTTTATAAATGAAGAATATGAATTCTCACATGGAAGGAAGTGTTCTTTAAGTATTTTGGTTCTAAGCTGATAAGTGGTTCAAAAACAAGTAAAAGTCATCAAGCTGCAACCCTGATTCTTGAACAAGGGAAGTTCTAATAATTTAGAGAAATACTGGCAAAATATACCACTTTGTGAAGAAATGCTTTTACTAATCACTAATGCCTCGTATCACTAACACAATGTTCCAATATATCAATATACTGCCTATCATTTTGAACTACCATCCATTGCCATTGCCAGCCATTTCTCTATGGAAAAGGATTCTAGTTTTGTTTTTTTCCCCCAAAGTGTTTAAAATGATACATTACCTGAGCTGTTTTCTGTTTTGCCTCTTCCAGATTCCTTTGATTTTCCAACATCTCTTGCTCTGCCTTGAGCTTTAGAAGAGCCAAGTCCCTCTCATGCCTCTGCTGCTGTGACTACAAGTGAAAAAGTACTTTGTTTATTCACTTACATTCTTCCTTTTTATAGAATTATGCAAAAGGGTTGTACAATTTTCCATCATTTAAAAACAGTAATGGCTCATTAATTAATTCTAAATGGTTTTAATTTAGTAGCTGTAATATATCAGATATTTAATTATAATATAATTATAAAATATAATGAAATAATTATAAAATAATTTGCTTTAATATTTCAGCATCTGCTCCTACTTTAATACATTTTAGTACCATTTTTTTGGTGAATAACCTATGTAATTAATTAGATTTATATAGCTGCCCATCTCACAGTAGTAACTCTGGATGGTTGTAAAATACAAAATACAATTTAAAATACAAAAACCACAGTATACAACCTCTGGTCCTTAAGGATAAAACAGAAAATATAATTAATATATTTTTAACTAAAAAGTTTGAAAATTGTAACTACAATCTTTTTTTAGGAAAATTAGATTTCAAAAATGCACAATTACTGGAATAAAGATCCCAGAATTTTTGTTGCTTTATAGAGTACCAATGTCTACTTTGGGTACTACCGAAATAAAATTCTCCCAGCCCTACTGTAAGTCTTCTAATCTTCTGCAAAGATACTTTACAGTGAGTGCCAAAACTAATTAAAGCAAAAAAATAACAAGTTTTGGTTATTTTTAGTTGTTAATATAAACTTTTTGTACATGAAGTAAAAGGTTTGAGAACTGAAGTTTCCAAGAGATGAAAAAACTGAAAATATATACTAAGTATTTTAAGGGATTTCAGATTCATTAATCTTACTTTTAATATTAGAGCCAGAGAAACACTTTCCTGCTGTGCAAGTGATATCCCTCGCACACGTTCTATATCAGAGATTTGGTGTACCGACTCTTCAATAGTGCTTAGGTAGTTAAGTTCTGCAGACATACGATGCTGGAGACCAGCAGGTGAGAAGCGCATGGAACCTGTAAAATCAGTACACAACTTAGTAAACGACGACATGTATATGCTCAAAAACGAGCCTGTAGTACAGTGGACTAAGCACTGTTATTAAGAACTGCTGCTTGCAATTACTGCAAGTTCGAATCTCACCAGGCTCAAGGTTGACTCATCCTTCCATCCTTTCTAAGGTAGGTGAAATGAGGACCCAGTTTGTGGGGGCAATAAGCTGACTTTGTATAAATATACAAAAGTATGAAGGCTATTGCTTAACGCATTGTAAGCCGCCCTGAGTCTCCGGAGAAGGGAGGCATATAAATTAAAGCAAAAAAAAATCACCCTATATAAAATATAGCAAATATAGCATATTCTATACATTTTTCCATTCTTTGCCAGCTCACCATTCGGAATATTGGCTCCAGTCCTGTTGTTTCCAATACTTAAGTCAGAGAAGGCAGGATTTAGCTTAGATCCAGAAGCTACATTTCTGGAAGAATTTAAAGATCTATGTTTTTCTGCTGTATTTCCTACAGGATCCATTTTTTTCTGTACGTTTGGAGACTGAGGAGAGCTTATCGTTCTTGGTGATCTAACTTTATCTGGGAGACTAAACAAACAAAAATTATTTAGAAAAAGTATTTACCCTTAAAAACATAAAGCAGCAATTTAAAATTATAGTTTAAAAGTATTTTCTAATTAAAGAAGAACTAGTGATAATAAAAATTACAAATTAAATTTGTGCCTTTTCATCAGTAGGATATATTTTCATACGCTGGGACAGAATGAGAAAACATATTTCAAAAAAATTTGGCTATTGTTTCCAGCTCTACAACCAATATGTTTTATATTAAAAAGAATAAAAACTTTGAAAATACATTAGTTGAATTTCAAGAGAACTGGACAGCTGTACATGAGCTGTACATGAAAGGGCTAAATACACCTCTTTTCACATTATTTGACTTTAAAGAACATACCTAAAATAAATTACAAAAATTAGTATGTGTACAATTAATATGTATTTATTAGGATAGGGATTTATTATGGTTCACTGTTGGATAAATATAGATCGTTAAATTTAAGTTTGCTTCTGACCCAACCAGATCAATTGCAAATGAATTTTGCTCTTAGTTTTTTGTCATATCGCTCAACAGAACTTACGATCAGGGTTTATTTTCCGTAATTATTCTAAAGAAATCAAACTAAGTCAAAATTCAGAATTCTGGGATATTTGAAATACCTTTCTCTTCAAAATTCAATTTGTCATATCTTGTTGTGTTTCTGTAAGCTATTAAAATGAATCATTTTCATAAAGTCTTTGATGTATGAGGTGAGTTTAAGCATTGGTTATGTTAGATTTCATTTATTATATTATTTTATGATATCTACAGAGGATGTTTTATCATTTGTATTGATGGATGTTGTAAACTGCAAAAATGTTTTTAATTACAGGGGAGTAAATCCTGATCAATCAACAAGTAAATGCAGAATTCTACACTCAGAGCACGGCCCCTTAATCCACTCACTGCTTTCACAAATATCAGTGGAAACTGTATTAAACTTATGTCACCATTTTGAAAAAAACTGACATAAGGAAAGGAAATGTCGATTATGTCTTATGTTCCAAGAACACTGGTTTCTACTTTATATATAAATACACCAATGTAACAGTAATATGCTGTTGTACTACTACAATACTTTACCTGAATTATAAACTATGCTATACAGTTTAAAACCAAAGTTTGGTAATAGTATTTTACCTCATTAATGAGTGACCAGATAGTTCCTCTAAAGTACTGTCAGAATCTAGGTTCACTTCTTGTTCTCTGTTAGACACTGCATTACTAGATATTAAGTGTTTTGCTTGTTCCAAACCATAGTCTGATCCTAGGGATGCTTTGCTTTTTTCCCAGAGAGAGGCATTTGGAAATCCATTTGATTCTGTCTCTGTAATGTATTTTAGAAAAACATGTTTAAAAATGAATACAAAAATAAGAATTCCACCATCAACTGATAAACACAGTGAATGTTTTTAGATTTAAAAATCATGAGATTTTTAAGCCAGAATTAGAGATGTGCAGTACGTATCTGTATCTGAAAGTTATGTCAATCTCCCATTAAATCCCATTCATAAAATCACCTTGACTATCTTGAAGTAATCATTCTCTGTCTAATCTGTTTTATTCAGTGAAAGAATAAAAATTAAGCAGAGAGAGGAAGAGATTAGATTTTAATAATTGCTAGGGGAGAACAGCAATATTTGGCAAGAAAGAGAAAGTCTGAAAGAAATAATGTCACCGTCTACATTTACAGGTAGTCCTTGACTTATGAACACAACCGAGACGAAGACTGGAATTTTAGTTGGTAAGAAATGTAGTCGTAAAGCAAGCTACTGTGAGACCACATTGCTTAGTGGCCACAATCGCAGCAATCCCTGTGGTCATCAATAAGCAAATTTTACCAGTCATTAACCAAAGATCCACCTTAATCCAAGCTATTCTGGGCTTTATCCCTTCCAACCCTAAGCCTCAATAAGGTAAGGGATCCCCCCACTACCTTCCCCAATCTCTGTGGCCCCCCTGCACCCTGCCTTATGGAGTGCCAAACAGCCCCAGGACTATGTTTCTCTGGGGCTTCTTGCCATGCCCTGACTCTTCATACAGCAACAAACAAAAAAGTGAAATTTAACAATGCATTTTACCAAATGCCTGATATTATATAATGGTACTAACATTAGAAACAAAAATTAGTAACCGAATAATGTTCCTCTGATTGCTTATGATTTTAATAATGGCCATCACCTCCTAATTTCTTTCAAAATCTATGAAGTTGGATATTTGGAATGTGTTAGGGTTCTTAACCAAATACTAAAATTACCTTATTAAGGGTCTCTTAATATTTTATTTAGATTAATCTTTATAATTGGTATTGGCCTGAAAGTCTTTTTGATGTATGGCTATTGTGATGAACTGGTGAACTGGGCAGCAAATTTATCTTTGTAATAAACAAGCAGCTGAAAAGCTCTTACTTTCTTTTCTTCCTCTTCTCTTAGAAGATGCGGATGCATGAGAAGAACCTGAAGATGGCGGTCCTGAGGAATGATGGGTTAATTCCACAGTTTGGTGTTCATAAGGCAGTTTTTTACTGGCAAGCTCTCCTTTCAGGCTGGTACTACTCGTGGCGCTTCCAATACAAGCATGAATTACACATCGTCAATATTTTTTATCTCTATCTATCATATCACAGTGAAATCCATCTAGTTTTTGTGAATAAACATAACGATGGCTAATTGATTCCTTTATACAGGGATTTTCCAACTCTTTGATACTGTAACCTCCTAAAATGGTAAGTTAATTTATGTAACCCCCACCATGATAAAACTAATGGTTTAATTGGGGTTAGAGTTTAATAAGAAATAAATGTACCAGTTATTTTCATCTTTAAATTTAATTTATATTCAATTGAACTTTACAATAAAAATGTATTAAAAAGTATTAATTGTATACATTAGAAATGTACACTAAAATTTAAAACCAATGTTTCAATATGAAGAATGGGACCTCTACTCCCAAAGCCCCTGAGCCCGTGTACCGATTGGCTGGCTTCGAACTGTCCTCTGCGCCCAAAAGCCCAACACGAATAGTTTGACCAACACGGTGAAGGGACTGGGACGGAAGGGCCGTGGCCCAAAGTGCCGAGGCGTAATAACGCAGAGGCGAAACCCTGGTGGAAAAACAGGCAGCACCAAGAGTTCGAGCCGAAAAGTCCCATTCCGCCCAGTCACACTGAAGGGAGGATACTGTACCCTATTTATACAGAATCTCAGCAGATGCCATTCGCACACTTCAGAAAAAAGTGCTTTCTGCTGATCTGCCATTCATTATCTTGTGGTTTTCAGGCCTTTATAAATTAATATTAAAAATCCCTTATAATATCATGCCAATTATTTTAACTGCTTTTAAAATATAAAAATTTGGAATATTATACCATTTCAGAAACTGTTCAAGATAAAAAATATTGCATGCTTTATTCTGGTAAAAAGCATGCACTACTTTATGTTTCTTTAAGTGCGAGTTTTCATGCTCCAGTATCCTCAAAAAGAGTTTTACACTGGAATTTCATAATGCCATATTTATATAAATTGTATACAAATAGGCCTCCACTTACCACCACAATTGGGCCTGGAATCTTGGTCATTGAGTAAAATGATTATTAAATGTGACCGTTTTGCTCAATGACTGCAATTTCAGATTTCTCAGTTATGGTCATTAAGTGATGACATGGGTTGTTAAGCAGAGCATCAAGAAAGGCTCGTGGCTTCCAGGACATGATAGGGCAGGGAGACGGCAAAGGCCACCCACCATATTCAGGAAGTCTGGGCCCTCTCCTCACCCCATCAGCAAGAACAATCATGAGACTGCTGTATTCACTATCTGTCCTTCCATCCCCCCACCATTACAATTGATGAAGTTTCTTGGATTAGAACTGAAATATTTTCTTCTTCTTCTTCTTCAAGGGGGAAGAAACACAGTGCAGTTGCCTTTTGAAAAAAGCACCTTTGAGACAACTATGACCTGGTTGACTGAGAATCTCCATAGACATTTGCTGTGTTCACTACCATTCCCACTAGATTTTAGGTCTATTCCTCTCCCTGGATAGAGAGAAGGAGAAATCCCTCAAATCCTATGTCCTGTCCACTTGAAATCTTCCCTGCCTGCTTCTCCCCTGGCTTTCTGGGGAAGCCGACAGAGAAGATTGCAAGTGGTAATCACATGATTTCCAGGCACTTGGCAATTTATTGCCAAGCATCCCAAATATGATCATGTGACCCAAGGGTGGGGGAAGCGCAATGTTTTACGATGGCCAGAAATGCTTTATGAGCCATAAAGCATCCATTCCAAGGCAGCCATTATTGTGAAATGGTTGTTAAAAAACTGGTCGTAAGTTGAGGTCTACCTGTAATAGTAGTTAGCAGTCCTAATTTAAAACATTCTAACCAAAATATTGGAATACTAAATTTGTATCATTAAAGAATACTAGACTACGACTATTGAGACACTAACTATTATACAATTCTATATATAACCACATATTATTCAATGAAAATCATTTTTCACCTCTTATTTTATAGCTTCATCACCCATTTGAAAAAAATATACCTGTGCTCAGGTGTAGACTTTTTGTCCATTGATGTACCACTACCTTGTGATGAGATGAAATCATCCTCATAGGAAGCAATACTATCTGGAGGGCTCATGGCTGGAAGTAAAGGTCGATGTGTTGATGATCCCTGTCCTGCATGTTCTTCAGATCCTGACAAAAGGAGGAAAGTGAAAATGAAATACAATCAATATTTCAGAAGAATTTACATTTCAACCAAAGTTTAATACAGAATATGCAAATAGGTAAAATGATCATGACCCGAAGACCAATCATACAAAACAACTCAGAAAATTCTAAATGGCTATACTACATATTATTATTAAATACTTTGTTCATTATATACAGTAGTTTATACACTGCTCAAACAACTAAAGGGAACACAAAACTACTGTATATAACAAACAAAGTATTTAATAAGGCTATTTCATTCATTCAGATCTCGGATGTCTTCTGCTTGTGTTCCCTTTATTTTTTTGAGCAGTGTATATTCTTCCCTAGCAACGCAAGGAGGTGGAGCTTTTTAACAAATGATTGACTTTATTGCAAAACAGTATAGAAGCCGACATCTCCAAAACAAATTAAAAATGTTGTACATAGAAACAGATACTGATACCAGCAAAAGTAGACTGAGATAATACATATAGAACACAGGATTTCAAGAAATATTCATTTAATTATTTACCTAACAAAATATCAGAGATATCAAAAGGTTTGCTCACCTTTCCCACACAACTGATAAGATTTTGTAAAGATGTTGATCACGCTATGTGGACTTCCCTTGACAAGTTCTTCCCATGGTTTTGGACCATTCCTAATCTGTGTGAAAATAGGTAAATAATTTTCTGCTTCCTTTTGAAATTCTTTTATGGGTTCAAAACCAGTTTTATCTGCAACACAGAACTCTTTTTCGTTTAATGCCTCAGCAATCTTCAAAGATGGATTATTAGGCTTTTCACCTTCTTCCTCAGAGAGAAGACCATCGCTGAGTAGACCTTCACTTATGGAACCCCCACTATCATTCAGAACTTCAGGTTTATTTTCAGACCCAGCAGAGCATGTTTGCTTTTGAGACAGATTTCCTAATATTCCTTCAGATATATTATTGCCTGGAAGACCGAGAGTACCTGTATGAGGACTAATAGACTCTGGGAGGTTTTTAAACTCATTAAAATTTTCTATTCCAGGAAGGTTATCATCAAAAGTTGTATGTGAATTGCAGGTTGCCAACATTTTCTGAAGCCTAGCTGAAAAGACATCATCTCCTTTCAGAGGAGGGCTGCTGGCTTTCGCCCAGCAGATATCACCTTGATCCTTTTGCAGCAAGTCATGTTCAGTACCCCATGCTGCTTCATAGTTAATGCCAGCCCCAGCTAATTTTTTGGCTTCACTTTCAATTCTATTTGAAAGAGAGGCTGCAGTTGCCTTTAGGGCTTCAATTCGGTCCAATTTATGTTTATAATGATTAATGGTGGGTTGTACAGTAGATGACATAAATGGCTGAGGAGTTGAAGACATGGATCCCACAGCTGCGTTATGGTTCCTTCTGCTTGATGTTACAAATTCAAAATCCTTTTGCAAGATACCCACGTTATCCAAAGATAAAAGCTGAGAGAAAAGAGCTCCATTCAAAACAGATTTTGAGCAAGGAACCTGTGCTATTGAACTCAGCTTCTCTGGATGAATCCTTAAAGACTCCAGTGTATTATCCCTGTAAATAATCCATTGAATTGTCATCAGTTTACAGCAATAAAGTTTAAACATTTAATTATAAAATAATCACCTGTACTAAGAATTGATAAACCTCTGGGGACCAAGGGTATAGGTATTTTGGAGGAATGACTTCAGTGAAGAGGGCAATGAAAATTATGTGGATTGTTGACTAGTTGTTCTTCTGGCGAGGAAGTTCCTGGATTTGGTTTTTATTGACACTATTTTTCACTTATCTAAAAATGATGGGAAACTGATATTTGGTACTATAGTTTAAGGGGTCTTTGGAAAAGAGTTTTGAGAGATACAAATAGCCCACCCCAACTGTAAAGACTCTCAAATGGACTTCTGGATTATTGGATTCTTATTTTTCTTTTCAGTCTTCCTGCCCAACCAACTAAACACTCCATCTACCAACAAAGACCACTAACACTCCATCCATGAATTTAACATTTAAATACAGTTTAACAACAGTAGAGTAGATAAACATTAAACTTATTACTGGCCCCAAATTTGAATGTTTTAAAGTGAATTTGAATTCTTCGTACAATATAATCTTGTACTTTTCATTTGCATTCCTGAAGAATTTTGGTACAGACATAGCTTTGAATATACAGAAGGAATTATCCTTCACTTCAAATGACTCATGAAGTGGCATCTTGCTTTTCATGACATATTTAAGAATTTTATGAGCATTGAATTTTAATAACTATCTTTTCAAAAGATTTAGAAAAATATTTCAATATTCTCAGCTGCTATAAAAGCTGTTTAGCTAAATCATACATAAAACCAGTTCCACTTTCCCAGCCCTGAATACATTCTTAATATCTTACCTTACAAGAGGATGAGGAGGCTCAGAGAGAGACATATCACTACTGGATGATGCACTAACAGGACGCTCCTGAACCTTGTTCTCTTTATCAGATTCTCCAGATGGTTGATATCCAGGTTTGGACTGGGAAGAAAAATAGACATTTTTTATAAAATAAGGACAAACTGAATAATGTATACTGAACTGCTTCGAGCGGTTGATGTCATGGTAAGAACAGCTTGGAAAATACCGGGCTCCACTGAGTCCTGCAAAATCCAGCCAGCAACTTTTGTCGGGAGACCCTACAGGATCAAAGCCACCTTGTAGGGGCGGCGAAGAAAGCAGAGGGGCTTCGTGGACCACGAGGAACTCACAATTTCCTCATTAGGTCTGAAGCAAGCTCTTCTGAATGAATTGGATATTGAATTGGAATGACGATTTGGATATTTTGAAATACTTAGTTTTTTTCTTTTTTGAAGATTTTTAAGATTAACTAAATTGCAAATTTAAATTGCAAATAACTAAACTGTATTGAAACTGGTTATTGGATTGTGGATTTGAAAAATTGGAGGAAATCTAGTGGGTTAATTTGGATTTGGATTATTAAAGCTATTTGACAGAACACTCTATGAGGCAAAAGAAAAAAGGTGATAGAAGAAAAGAGAAAAGAAGAAAAGTTAAATAAGACTTTAAAATTTGGACAATTGGGAAGACAAATAACTGGAAAACCAAAAGGCTGTAAAATGCTAAAGAACTTTAAAGATTATAAATTTAGGGGATTTGGAGGTATAACTATGGGATTGACTAAATCTCATTAATAATTGACTTTGTTGAATATTTTAAAATTGAGATGTTGGGACCATAGAGGTATATTGAGTAATTTTTATCAAATTGTTACAAAATGGATTATCGGGATAATAGAGATATATAAAGAAATAATTTTGATGCTCAAAACCATGCATGAAACTGTAAAGAACAATAAAGAGACAAGGGGATTGTCTAACAATAAAGATGAACATGATATTCAGAAAATAGATGAGAAATTAGAAGAAGCAGTGGAAGAGAAAAATCAAAATGAGATGCAAGAAGACAAAGATAATGAGGAGAAAGGATTGATAAGTAGGAATCAAATAGATAATTCCTTAAAAGTTTATAATAGAACAGAGAAAAAAAATCTCTTCCCAAAAAAAAGAAAAAAAAAGAAAAAGAAAAGAAAGGTCTAGAGAAAAAAAAAGGAAAATAGGTGGAAGTTTAGGATTAGGTAATCTAATTGTATTATTAAAAATATATTGTGATCTTAAACTTTTAAGGATTAAAAATTGTGGGAAGATATAATCCTGGGATTGATTAAATTTTGTTAATATTTGGCCTTGTTAGTAGTCCAAGACATTTGGGATATTGAAATTATGGTGGAATAATGAGTAATTTTAAAAATATTAAACATTAGTGACTTAGTAGGGGATAACAAATACATGGCGCAAAGAAATGTTATTTAGATGTAAATGAATTAATGGGAAAAATGATAAAGAATAATAAAGAGAGAATAGTCTTGTTGAAGTTGGAAGATTAGGATTATGCATATTTATTTGTATTATTATTGTTAGCATTGTTTAAAAAGGATATTGACCCAGTCAATACACTGTCAATACACTGTCCACAAAGTATGTATGGTGTGAAAGGAAAACTGCAAATAAAATAATGTATACTGGACTATGAACTATACTTTCCTATGACTTTCATGACTGATTAAGGATTTGAACATGGATCTTTTGAACACTAATTAAAGTAACAGCTATATAACGTCTCGGATAAATAGTCAAGGCTTATACCCCATGAGTATTATAGCTGTATAATCAAGGTTTCCAGGGACAAGATGGTTTCTAAATGTGTTCAGCTAAATTTATCTAGAATGAATCTTCAGATCTTTCCTTAGTGTAGAAGGAGCAGGAGGAACTAGGATTAACAAAGGGCCAGATGTTGATGACCAGGAAAGAATACAGGGCCCTTATCTACTTTGTGTCAATCTGGGTTTTTAAAAATGCCTTAATGTGGCTAATGTCTATTCACATCTTACACTATGCTAAAATTGTACATTGTACAACATTTGCAGACTGCAATAGTGTTAGCAATTCTTACACAATTTATTAATGCTATTCTTACTTGATTCAGTCTTTAGGCACCATGGAGGTTAATAGACAACTCTGACTAGTCTCTTTTAGCTTGAATTACCTCAATAACTTTAATACAACAACTTTAAGGGGATAAAACCCTAGCTAACATGATATATCTCACCTTCACATCTCAGAAAAAATACCCAGGTGTTAATATCCTTGAGGTGATAATCTCAAGGAAATTGCATGTTATATATGCAACAAATGAATAAATAACAACTATTCCTGCTTATTGTATGCATTTTTAAAAAATTAATAAGGAAAAAACACAGAAAATATCCCAACTCTTATCAACCTACCTGAACTTCTTGAATAGAGTGTCCTGGATTCTCCAGCAATGTTTGTTCCATGAACAATTTAGAATAAGTTTCTTGTAACTGTTTAGTGACCCTTTCAGATGTTGATGTTGCCTTTGTTTTATTGGCAACAGCTTCTTTTTGTTTTTTGTAAAGTTCCTGGAGTCTTTTATTTTTTTGCTGTGTTGCCTCCTTTTGTGCTTTCTTTTCTTCACTTTGTCTCTTCTTCCTTTCCTCTTGCTGTCTCACAATATACTGGCGTACTTCATCTGCATCATAGTGGCGTTTCTTTAAGATAAACTGAGTGTCTTCACTGATGGGAACTTTGTCTGATTTTTTTTTGCTTGGACTGTGACTTCTAGATTCCTGATTCTGACATACTCCATTCCTCATCTCTGAATCCTGAGCTACAGAATCCAGTTGCAGATCATCAAGAATCCCACGGATTTCTACTGGTAAGAAATCCTTATTTACATGATCATCTCCCAGTCCCTCATTGTGAGGAGCAGCATCTTTTTCCTTCAGGGTATTCTGTGCTCTTATTTTGCTCCATGAACGCTCAGGACATATTGTGAGGGGTTTTACAGCCACAGGTATATTGCAGTCAGTTTCTGTTTTTTGAGCTGAGGATACTAAAGGGAAGCAGATGGGGAAGATCAGAATGTAGCATTAGAAAGGAACCAAGATTCAAAGTAGCATATTCATCTTAATATCCAGTATTTGGTGGGCATTATTTTTTAATCTATCTTATTTTATGAAATTTAAACACTATATCCAGAAACTAAGTTCTTTGATATAGAAAGAAAAATTACTTTTAAAAGGTTGGAAATAATGTTGGGCAATAAAATAATATGCAACTGCAATTTTTTAAACCATTATCTGAAAAAGAATACATACAACTTTGAAACGGGTCATGAAAGAATTAGTTAGGGCTACAATTTTCATGTTCTTTCAATTGGAATACCCACAAGAGTTTGCGGTCTGAAAGAAATTATTTACAGCAGCGGTGTCAAACATGTGGTGTCATGTGACGTATCACGACTTCCCCCCCTTTGCTAAAATGGGAGTGGGCGTGGCCAGCGCATGATGCATACGGCCTACAGGCCGCAAGTTTGACACCCCTGATTTACAGTATAATCAGACTGCATATAGGCTGTAGAATATAGCTTCTATTCCATATCTGCAATTTTGCAAAACTGGGTATGGACAGCAATGGAGTAATTTAAATTTAATACTTCAAAATCTTACTGCCTTCATCCAAAAATGAGAACAATTCTTATATATTTTTTCCTTGAAGATTTCTTTACTAGTAGCAAAATATTTCATGAAATATTGCTGGGTGGTTAAGCATGTGAATCTTAAGTTTAATTTACATCTATTATTTTGTGTCTTTAAAAAAAGGAATACATTAGTAATTCTGAACTATACAGCAGCAGACCCCAACCTGCTTGTGCAAATGCAGCTTCATTCGCTCATGCGTTGTTTTCGCAGCCCAGATCTCAACAGGCTGGGCCATGGCCTGGGGTTAGGGGCCCCTGCTGTATGGTATTCACTCAGCCTTTAAAGTGAAGGTACCAATTTTTATTTTGTGATTTAAAAAACTGTGTGCAATATGATCTAAAGAATAATTGTTCAGAATTATTCAGTGTATGAGACATAATGTGAACAGCTGCTTTTCACTAGCATTAAAATGCTCACATACACAAACACACCCACCCACCCCCAAGTATATTTAACTTACTAGTTTTAATAGATTTATCTTTTTCATTCCTGTCACTAGGCAACAGCTGAGTGTTTGGCTGCTCTAGTTTAGGCACTGGACCTAGTAGTTTCTTTGCTAGCCGTTGCCCATCCCTCCAGGATGTTGTACTTATTGTGTTGGCAACACCTAAACCAAGAAAAAAGATACAAAACATTTTCTATTTCTTACTGAATAACACACCAGTACTCTATATTTTAAGGAAAGTATGTGGATAGAAGTGGCAAGAAAAGAAAATGCATTGCCATCTCACCCATTCATAGAATGACAGCATCATCTGAAATTACTTGGGTAGTAGCAGTTTCTTCTACTGTTCTCCCAGAGTTCCTTCTTCATTGATTTTTACTGAACTAATGTTATCGACTTCTGGGGAAGCAGTGGTGGACTGAATATGGCTCCACAGAGAGCAGAGCTGATGACCATAGCAGAAAGAGGAGCCAGTAAATGGATCAGCTCCCCAAACTCCTCTCCAAAACAAGGAGAGGACCAAGATTACTCACAAGTACTCCTTAAAGAGGGTCCCCACGAGGAGACTATATAACAGCACTGTCAGAGTTCTGGGAGCCGAGAGAAACTCATCTCACCAAACTTTGGTTGGGAATGGTTTGGAATGGACATTCAGTTTGCCCAGTTCCTATCTTAATCATTTTTGGAAATGGCTTGTTAATTGTTTTTTGCATAGTGCGAACCTTCAGAAGGGTAAGTTTGATTACAATGGATAATTTTCTTTCAACTGTCAGTGAAAGAAGTTCCATATATGTTTAAGAATTTAAAGCAAAATTTATTATTCAGAAATAAACAGAAAAAGGGTGATGAGAAAGTTGATTCTGGAAAATTACAAATGGACTAATGGGCCAGATTGACAGGAAATAAGATTTTGAAACTAAAAATCCTTCCTGTGATTTTTTTAAAAAATCCAATTAAAATACATGAAGCTTATGAATCTAAGTGTAAGAAAAATATGATAAGAGACCTTAAAAGCTGCCTACTAGAGACAACCGGAAAGAACTAAAATTATTTAAAAGAGAAGATGTCTCTAATACAGAATGGAAAAAAAGTATTTTAACTCTGGAAAAATTCATAGCAACAATGTAAGTTGAGGACTACCTGTATTGTTCTTTCTGGTAGGTTTTAATGGACTTTTGTTGATTCGGACTGAATGACGAGGCTTTATTAGCAAATAACAGATAAAAGATGAGATATGGGATTTTTGGTTGAAATTGTTTACAAACCTTTGGTTGAAAGGTGATAATTTGCTGAAATTGTTTGTATTTGTCTTGATGAAGGAAGAAGTCATTTCTTTGTGTAACTTTATTTTTTCCCTTCCCTTTTTTCTCTGCATTTTTATTTTTTTCTTAGCATTCATTTTTTACTTTTATATTTTAAATTTCTTGCATTTTTAAATTAAAGCTAGCTATCCTTGCCTTTAATATTTGCTTATCATTAGCTTAGTCTCTCTTTATACCCCTCAAAGTGTTCTACAGAGAGCAAAACGGAGAAAATCTACAGCATTCCTGCAGTAAAGCTTAAGATCTTCACTTTAGCATTGGGCCATGTATCTGCAATGCTTGGTTAACATGACACATGTTATTAATATACCGTGTTTCTCCAAAAATAAGATCCTGTCTTATATTTCTTTTGAACCCTGAAATAAGCGCTTGGCCTTATTGCCATGCGCTCAAAAGTCCGATTGGGCTTATTATCAGGGGATGTCTTATTTTGGGGGAAACAGGGTATCATATTTGAGGAAACAGTAAGTAAGCATGGCGATGGTGAGAGAATATGACTGCAGCCCTCAGATACATGGAAGCAGCTCTCTTGAAAAGTATAAGCCAACACTGATGATTGTCATGAATGAATGAATGAAATCATAAAACTTGAATGCCACCTGACTCTTGGTTGCTCACAATAAGTTAAACAAAAAAAAGTTACAATAAAATGCACCTGATTTAGAATAAGGACTTGAGAGTTGTGCTATCTTCTGAGTTTTACGCACTGGTTTGTGTCCTTTTTTCTCTTTTCTTTCAGTAGGTGTGTTTATTACAGTCAAATCCTCTTCTGAAAAATATGTTGAAGAACCATTAGTGCATCCCATCAAAATTACAGGAGGATGTTATAGCAACTATTATTAACTTTCAAATCAGAACTCAAGGTATGAATTAAGTTACCAATTTTATTTTTTTCTTTAAATTTACAGGGCTTCAAAGTATTAGTTACAGGCTTATGGATTATTATTATTATTGTATTAAATATACAATATCACTGCTTTTAATATAAATATTCTCAAAATTACTCTGGCTATTTACCTGCCAACTGGAATTCTAAATCTTGACATAACTCTCTACTCAGATTCAGAAATTCCTCTTCACACCATACCTTTCCATCAGGAGTACGAATCTTGGCTTCTGATTGATTGAAACCTAAAAGAACAGCACAATTAATTTTAGCAGATTAAAATAGTCATGACATTCTATTTAGATTTCAAACCTCTACTACATGGAAGTAGCTGAGAAGTTTCTATCTAAACACATTCAATATTAACTGGGTTTGTAATCGATCCCAAGAAAGGAACAATGGAAATCTTAGCCTTTATTACACAACCCAGAGATTTTTTCCCCACATATTTTATTTACAAATGGTGTACCTTTATAGGAGGGAGCCATGGGTGCTGTTGCCACTTTTCTGATTTTAGGAGTCACTATATTTTCAGGAGCTGTAACAGTTACAGCTGGATGATCAGAATATTCAGGATTATGTCCTCCGACAGTCAGTTCATCTGAACACTCCCATTGCTTTCTAATTCGTTCTTTTAATTTTTCCAGTTTATCATCATGCTGATGCTGCTTTAAAATATCTAACCTATGGGCACTTGAGGTACTGGCAGAAGAAGCTGAAGATTCTACCAATTGTAATTCTTTTAGTTCATTTTGGACTATTGAACTTGGCGGTGTTTTCGTATACTCATCTCCTCTGGATTCTTCACTTTTTTCTTCTTCTAATTTTGTAGGATTCACCACATCTGAACTTTGCAAAGCATTAATTGCTGGATGGTCATTCAAATAGCGAACAACAGTTTCATCTGTAGAAGATGAGCTTTTCAAATCTCTGCCATGCAAATCTGGTTCTCCTTTATCATAGATCATACCACTTCCTTCAGCTTTATTTCCTGCTTCTTTATACTTCAGATGTCTGGCCTCCAATTCGCAAGAGGTTTTATAAGATGGTGACCACTGAGAATCTCTAATGGAAGCACATTAAACATTAAAATAAAAACAGGAACTCTAATAAACCTGTTTGTCATAAAACAAAAACAACTTTGAACTTGAGAGAAAGAGTTAAGTAATTATAAAAAAATTTTCCTCCTGTCATTGAGAATGTTCTATCATCCAAGCCTTTTCATTTTAAAGCCATAGTTCTATGCAAGATAATAATTCCTCAATTCCAAGAATTCACAAACACAGAACATGGATTGGCATTTTCACTGCCAGATATCCAATGCATCTTGGCTATAAAAACCCAAACCAAAAAATCCCCTACAATACCCTTTCTATGTCCACAGCATGAAACAGCAAAGGAACTTTCTTTATAGTCATGGTATTATTGTAGACCTATTAAGCACATCTCTTTTCCCAAAGAATGAGCTAAAACAAGAATGCTCTCTCTCTTTCCAGATAAGAACATAGAGGGAATGTGATATATGGTACTTGCTTCCATCAAACCAGAGGAGAAGGGAAAGCATTCTAGTCTTTGCTATAGAAAGGCAGAGAATATGATAAGAGGGGGGGAAATCTAATTTCATAAATTGTACTCTTTTCCAGGATAAAATAGCATCAAAGGTTCAAGTAGGATAATTTCTTCACTTAGTATATTTTTTGTCTCCCAAGATCTATTAATGCCCTTCCCTCTCTCTTAGAATAGTGGTGATTACTGTTTTTAGAATGCAGCTAGTATTTTGATAACTTGGTAAAAACATTGTCTTCACTTCTAAATTGCAAGCAATAGCATAAGCAAGAGCTCTATTTCATGAAATCGCTTTAAGGTGAAACAGTAATCATATCAATAAATGTAAATTCTTCAAAAATAGTAAATAATTATGCTTACAGTTTACTTCTATAACCCCTGCAATAGTAAAATGACAAAACTAATCAAACTTACCTGAAAGAAGACAGGGGCTGACGAAATTCAACATGTCCATTCTTACTCACATTGCTATCCAAAGTGGTAGCACGAAGAGGCTTGCGGAAAGAACTTTCCTTGTTTTGACTGGAAGACCTGCAACCTGAAACAAAAATCAAGATGTCTTTCATGAATCTCTAGAGATTCAATAAGAAATCAAGAACAGTGGTAATGAAAATTTCTGAGTCCCTCACTCTCTGCAAAAGAGGATGGGTGCTTGAATCTTAGCAATATTATGGCACTCAGGAGCATCCATTTTCGGTGCGAAAAGCATTTCCAAGCCAACTCTCCTTTCCCTCCCTCAAAGGCAAAGAAACAGTGGCAGAGAGGAGACAGATGTTTGCAAGGTGAGTCCAGTGTGGCAGGAGGGTGGGAGAAGCATATCTTAGTGGGCTGGGGAGGTTTTGAGGGCCTGTTCTATCACTAGGCCCCCCCATGGCCTTCCTTACCCTGAGATGCCTCCTGTGCACTGAACATTGGCATTCTCTATCAAATCCTGTACATGTTAATAGCGGTGTTCCCCAAGGCAGTGTCTTAGGTCCAACACTCTTTATACTTTACATAAATGACCTTTGTGATCATATTAAAAGCAACTGTGTTCTCTTCGCTGATGTTAAACTATTCAACTCCACCAACAATACAACTACCCTTCAAAAAGACCTTGACTATGTGTCAGATTGGTCTAACAAGTGGCAACTTCAAATCTCAATCAACAAATGCTCTTTTTGCACATTGGCAAAAAAAAATCAACACATAAAATACAAATTAGATAGACATGACCTTGTAGATGACCCTCACTCTGTCAAGGACCTTGGAGTACTCATTTCTAAAGATCTAAAGATCTACGCTGACGATACTCAGCTGTACATCTCCACCCCGGACCAACCCAATGATGCCCTTGAAGTGATGTCCCGGTGCCTGGAGGCCGTGCGGATCTGGATGGGGAGAAACAGACTCAGGCTCAACCCATCCAAGACCGAGTAGCTGTGGTTTCCGACATATCTATCTATCTATCTATCTATCTATCTATCTATCTATCTATCTATTATTTATTTATTTATTTTTTATTAATTAATTAATTAATTAATTAATTATATTTCTATACCACCTTTCTCCAGTAGGACCCAAGGCGGTGTACAGTCAAGAAAAATATAGACACACAAACATCATAAAATTGCTAATTAAAATTATTACTTAGTTTGGTCAATTAAATAAAACCCAGAATTAGATAACATTTAAAAAATTCATTTACATGTTCATATGTTTAGCCCCGCCTGTTGGAACATCAGGGTCTTGAGGGCACGGCGGAAAGCACGGAGATTAGGGATATTCCGTATCTCCGGGGGCAGTTCATTTCAAAGGGTTGGAGCCCTCACAGAGAAGGCCCTCTGCCTGGGAGTCGCCAGTCGGCATAATTTGACTGACGGTACCCTGAGTAGTCCCTCCCTGTGAGAACGAACTGGTCGGTGGGAGGCTATTGGTGGCAAAAGACGGTCTCGTAGGTACCCAGGTCCTAAGCCATGGAGCGCTTTAAAGGTGATAACTAACACCTTGAATCGCACCCGGAAGACCACCGGGTATAGTCAGTTGGTGCCATCACTGACTATTGGGGGTGAGTCATTGGCCCCCACGGAGAGGGTTCGCAACTTGGGTGTCCTCCTGGACTCACGGCTGTCTTTGGAAGAGCACACGACGGCCGTGGCCAGGGGGACTTTTTATCAGGTTCGCCTGATTCGCCAGTTGCGTCCCTTTCTGGATCGGGACTCGTTAAATACGGTCACTCATGCTCTCGTTACTTCTCGCCTGAACTACTGCAATGCTCTCTACATGGGGCTCCCCTTGAGGAGCACCTGGAGGCTCCAGCTGGTCCAGAATGCGGCCACGCGGGTGGTTATGGGAGCAACGTGGCGCTCCCATGTGACCCCCCTCCTGCGCGAGCTGCACTGGCTCCCGGTGGTCTTCTGGGTGCACTTCAAGGTTTTGGTTACCACCTTTAGAGCGCTCCATGGCATCGGACCGGGGTATTTACGAGACCGCCTTCTGCTACCAATAGCCTCTCACCGACCAGTACGCTCCCATAGAGAGGGGCTTCTCAGGGTGCCGTTGGCCAAACAGTGTCGACTGGCGGCCCCCAGGGGGAGAGCCTTCTCTGTGGGGGCACCTACCATCTGGAACGAGCTCCCCCCAGAGATACAGAGGATCCCGGACCTGGGCACGTTTTGTCGTGCTCTCAAAACTTTTTTATTTCAGCAGGCTGGCCTGGCCTAACTATCCTCTTTTAAATTTTTAATTCATGTGATTTTATAAATTGGGTGTTTTAATCTGTGTTTCGGCCAAAATGTTTAATAATTTTAAGGGATTTTTTAATATTTGTATTATCTGTATTTTATCTTGGCTGTTCACCGCTCTGAGTCCTTCGGGAGTAGGGCGGTATAGAAATTTGATTAATAAATAAATAAATAAATAAATAAATAAATAAATAAATAAATAAATAAATAAATAAATAAGTGCCCGAGCCCACTGTAACAACATTGCCAAAAAGGCATTAGGAGTTGTTAACATAATCGTGCGTAGCTTCTTCTCTGGTAATGTTGTACTACTAACTAGAGCATACAAAACATTTGCTAGACCAATTCTTGAATACAGCTCATCTGTCTGGAACCCACACTGCATATCGGACATAAATACAATCGAGAGAGTCCAGAGATATTTTATGAGAAGAGTCCTCCATTCCTCTAACCGCAATAAAATACCTTATGCCACCAGACTCCAAGTTTTGGGCTTAGACAACTTAGAACTACGCCAACTTCAGTCTGACCTAAGCATAGTACATAAAATTATCTACCACAATGTCCTTTCTGTCAATTACTACTTCAGCTTCAACCACAACAATACATGAGCAAATAATAGATACAAACTCAAGGTAAACTGTTCCAAACTTGATTGCAGAAAGTATGACTTCAGTAACAGAGTGGTCAATGCTTGGAATGCACTACCTGACTCTGTAGTTTCTTCCCCAAACCCCCAAAACTTTAACCTTAAATTGTCTGTTGACCTCACCCCATTCCTAAGAGGTCTGTAAGGGGTGTGCATAAGTGCACCAGCGTACCTACCGTCACTGTCCTAATATTCCTTTTTACTTACTCTTTTCATGTATTCAAATTATGCTTATATTTTTACCTGTTATCTTATATACGCTTGACAAATAAACTTATGATTATGATGATTCTTAACTTGTGAGCTCTTGGGAAAGTATCCCGCCCTTGTGTGTTGCAAACAGCCATTTCCAGTGGGGAAAACAGGACAAAGCAGAGTGTGGAAAATATTTTCCTCTGCTATATTTCCAGTCTGAATTACACCATGGCAGGGTCCCTACAGGAGAGCCCTTTTAAGGATTATGTATTAATAGAAAAGCAACTAATTTACCTCCGTTCCTAAATGCTAAAGCTGTTGCACCTAAAAAACAGAGGAGCTCTGATCAACTATCACAGTTGACTGTGGGCGCTCCCACTAAATGCAAGCATGGGATAAACTGAGCCTGGTTTGTTCTCAGTCTCAGGCCACAAACTACTAGCAAAAGCAAATGTTTCCCCTTTTGCATCCAAGGAAGGACAGGAAAGGAGAAAGGCAAAGAGGAAAGAAAAAGAAGAAAAGAGGGGAAGAGAGCAAGGAAGAAAAAAGAAGGAAAGAGGGGAAGGAAGGAGAATGAAGAGGGAAGGAAAAAGAACAAAAGGAAGGGTGGGAGGGAGGGAGGGAGGGAAGGAGGAAGGAAGGAAGGAAGGAAGGAAGGAAGGAAGGAAGGAAGGAAGGACGGACAAGCAACTTGGCTGGAGATGCCCCAGTTCAAAGAAGAAAGCAATTTTGTATTCTTTTTTGTCACGGGCAGAACTTTGTTGGCAATCCAAGTTAACATTGTTTTTCCAGTACACACCATGAGCAACCTGGCCAAGGAGAGCAAGCATAGCAGCAGTCAGAACTGGACATACCCACCCCGTCCCCCTGAGGTAAACCACAATCCTAATGCAATCCTCAATGAAATTGAGTTTGACACCCCTGTTCTAGACTTATGGGAGAAAGAAAAGTTTCTACTTCTTCATACTATACTAAATTTATAATATATGTGTCTTTTTTCAATTATTTTTTCTAATTTGACAATATATAAGTATAAACCCTCAAGAACAATTAATTATTGATTTAAAAAAATATTTAAGGTTTATATTGAACATTTTCTTAAAGCATTGTATAAAATATTTCAGAAATATAAAATTAAACATGCTTTAATTATATTTAAAGAGTCATGGGTAGATGGGTAGCCATATAAATCCAAAAAATAAGAAACTTCATACGTATTTTACAGGGAGGGAAGAAGACTGATAGCTAGCAACTATACTTGTACAACGAATCTAACAGCTCATGAAAGAGATTCTATAGGACAACTAGAACTAGATTTTATTGAGACAGGCTGTAATAACAGAATCTTGTAAGTCTGTGCTTCTCTTCCCATCCTTCTTATACCCTAGTGCAGTGATAGGCAAACTTGACTCTTTCACACCCTGTGGACTTCAACTCCCAGAATTCCTAAGACAGCTTGGCTGTCTTAGGAATTCTGGGAGTTGAAGTCCACAGGGTGTGAAAGAGCCAAGTTTGCCTACCACTGCCCTAGTGAATCAATGTCTTCTCAATAGTATCTCCCTTCCCAGAACTTAAATGAATGTTTTGGTCCTCTTGGTTTACAAAATAGCTTGATAGGTTGATTTCACTGAAATTATTTAGACAGACAGACAGACAGACAGACAGACAGATAGATAGATAAATCTAATAGTTTAAAACTACACATGGCCGCAATATTGCTTTGGTTAATTGTTCAAAGAAAACAAATACAAATACAAAAGTTTAACATGGAAGTGTAAATTAAAAACCCATTGGTGATCCCTGTTCTCCTGATATAGCATGGCAAAACATCATGAAGCTACAAATACACATTTCTTGTGGTACTAAATCACCAATTATTATCTAATTTAAAATGAAATTTAATCTGAAAAAAAAAAGAACAGCAGTTATATCTTAAACAATGACTTAATTTATTTAAATTTATTGTGACTG